AATCAGCATTACTTTATGCTTTCCCAGTTCCTTTCCAGCCAGATCTGTCTCCAGGCAGGCTTCACTGCACAGCAGCATGAGTGCTAAGGGAAGCAGCAGCCAGTGATGTGAGGATGGGCAGAAGCTCCCCGTGAACAGGGAGTCCACACAGCACGTTCACAGTAGGGACTGAACCGCAATACAGGGCGGCATTAAAGCTGCTGAACATGGGCAGCACTGCAGCCGAGGGATGAATGGAGAAACCCTCATCTGGACTAAACTACCTGCAAGCACAGCAGACGGTAGGCATAAATAGTCACGTTTCCCAGGGAGGGAGAGCACTGGAAGCCTTTTGCTGTGCTCTGCTATACACTGTATTCATGAACCACCTGGAACAAGGGGCAAGGAATGGAGCAAAAGTCTCCTGAGAATATGAGCTATTTGATAGTAAACAGAAGGACTGACTGAATACCTGAGGCTGAATAACCAGGAAATAACAGATGAAATTCAGTGCAACTAAAGCAGCAGCCTGAATAATCCTCATTTCACATAGTGATGTGCTCCAAGCTGATCATTAACATTCAGAAATTCCTGCTGGAGTCATGACACTGATAAAAGCATCAGCTCACAGCTATTCATATAAAAAATAAACCTAACGTCAGGAAATGATGAGTGATTTAACCACCACATAAAGCTATAGAATGTCTGCAGCTTAAATCCTGGATGCAGCTTCTGTTCCTTCATGGCCACAGGACATAATGGAAGGGGGAAATACTTTTAAAAAGGAAACAAGGTTTGGAAAGATAAATAATGAGGAACAGTCAATGAGACTGAGGTTGTTCTGCCTGGAAACAGAGATTACTGCAGTGACCTATGACAGAAGGCTATACAATCATCAGTTGCACGGAGAAGGTAAATAGAGACCAGTTGTTCACCTTTTCCAAACCATACAAAAAGAGACAAAATGAAGCTAGCAGCTGTCAAGTTGAAAAAGCAAGCAAGCAAGCAGAGATTGCTAAGCACCTACGACATTATTTTATCCTCTGGAAGGTCTACCCCAGGATGTGGAAATGCAGCAAGTTCACAGAAGAAAAACACATTAACTATTAACAAGATAAATGCAACCAACACTTAATCTCTTGACATCCTACAGCTGATGAGAGACAAGAGAGCTCCCAGACAAGGGTTTATATAATTTGCCCTGACCTTATGCTTGTCTCTTTTTGGTCAGTGTCAGGGAATAACAGTGGACTTGGTGGTTCCACCTGATTCTATGGCTGCTCTTACACCACAAAAATCAATTACATCTCTGGTATTCCTCAGCCCTCTTTGAACTTACTGAACTTGCTGACCTGGCAAAAGCTGATCTTCTGTAGAGATCGGGACACAGAGGGGCTGGACAAGTGCCCTGCTTATTTAGCAAACTGAACTGGTTCAGGAAAACATCCAGCAAATGCTGAGGGCGGTACAAGACAGCAGGAACAGGACCAGCCCTTTTGCATGCCAACCAGACATTAGGTCAGTTTAAGATGTTACACACAGCTTCATCACCAAAATGCAGATGAAAAGGAAGCAGCAGACTGCCTATATCCTCTGTTCGAACACACAGAGAAAAGCCACAATTCCAGATCTTGTGGGGGAGAAAAAAAAAAAAAAAGGCTCAGTTTCACATTTTTAATCCATATGGTAATTACAAAGAGAGTCTGGTTTATACACAACTGAATAGTAAAGGTTACCTTAAAATAAAACGTCACATTTATAACCTCTATGGTATTTACACTATGTAAAGTAAGGAACACCCCTTGGCGAACTAAAACCCATTGTAAATAAGGAAACGCATCCAAGTCTGGTAAGGCCAATAGCCAAATGAAAACAAAGCTATTCCTTTCCGTGTTTCCCACAGCATCGATTTGATTACTCCATTAAATGGTGCTACATCAGTCCCATCAGAAGCTAAGGGGCATGACCAGATAGAAAAAGGTGACTGATCAATAAGAACATACTATTAAAACTCCAGCAAATCCCATTTACAATTCAGAATTTACAGGAACAGAACTAGAACCAAATGAGATTATTAAAATCTCTCATCAGCTCTGATGTGCACAGCTGATGGCACAGTCACCCAGTCTTACCCGTATCAGGATGAAATTACAACTGCTTTGCTTAATAACTGACCTGATGTGGCCAAACCACTGAAAATTCCCAGGGAAAAGCAGTACCAATTTTTATTATTCCTCCCAAACCACATTCATATGAAAACGAGACCACTGGGATGCATCAAAACACACATCAGGACCATTGTCTTCAACATTACACAGAGAACAGTGGCAAAACATTCTTCTGCTCTCCTTTAACTATTGCAGATTTAACCAGGCTGTAATAATTACAGACACAAATAATCTTAACCAGTACCACACAACTGCCCAACCCGAGGATTAAGAGCTGTAAGCAGCAGAGGCATATTTATTTATATCCAAGACCCAGCTGACAGATGATGAGCACAAGATAAACCCTGATAATGGAGGGGTATGGTGTCACCACTGCCTACAGAAATAGAACTCACTGAGGGGTTGGCTACACCTTTTTTCCAGGAAGCAACAGTGGTAAGCAATCCAGCTGAGTTGTTATTTGTGAGAGTGACAATTAAATAGTTAAAAATTAAAATCCCTACTCTGGTACACATAAAAACCTCCCAGAAGTTTTAAAGCTGATTTGCTTTCTCCTACTTATTATTTTATTTTTGTGCTTAGACTATGTTATGACCATAACTTTTTGAGCTTCTTACTGAAATACCTATACATTACTACTTTGCTATAATGTCTACCTTGATTCCCCTATCATGCAATAGAGGAATGTTGAAGAAAACTACTCTAGAAGCATCTTTCAGAAAATTTCCTAGTATATCTTTAAGAAGCCAAAATATATGTTGTATGTAATAAAGCCTCTGAAGTCTAAGTGCCCCACTACACTTATGCTTTCCATTGAAAAGCACTAAAGATCATGTCATGTATGACCAGTGTGAAACATGAGCTGCAAACAGAAGCATTAGGGCATTTCTGAAGGTGATCTGAGATTAGGAAAACACAAGCTAAGTATGTTTGTCCATTTCAATTAGTTTTTACCCTTGGATACAAAATGAGTAGCTAGGAATATAATTACAGCCTCCAAAAACACTGCTTCCAGCAATTGTTTTATTTTGTAACATTTCCAGCTCCTGCGCTTGAAAACATTTCAATACCAGCCAAGCACAGCCCACACCAAGTTTCTGCCCTCAAGACAAGTTTCAGTGCCTCGTGTGCCACACACAAAGTTTCCAAATCCCAAACAAACGAGTAAAATTAGAAGAGTTGTTCCCAATCCTCAGCCCTCTCCACAAGCCCAGTCCAACAATCCAAATAAATCCTAGTAACCGCCTTGCTTCTTTGTGAGTCTCTCCCCAGTTCAGTGTGCTAGGAAAGCTTTACACTGACATCAAGATCAACTTTTAAGACTTTACCTTTTTTACTTTTCACCATAGACTGATACACTGTTGCCAGACGCAGTTTGACAGGCTCCACTATTGGGAAGATTGCTGTCCTCTTGTTTCTGCAGAAGAGGAAAGGCAGAAGCTGAAGTAATGAGCACCCAAGCCCTCTTATCTGAACATGGGAGACTCAGGAGTGTGCCTGACCCAGGAAGCAGAAGCGGATTCTTCCCCACCTGTAACCCCCATCTTCTCATCAGTGTTCAACACAAAAGCTCCCGTGTGTTTCCCAGATGTAATCTCCTGACCTTTCCTATTCTCTGGAAACACACAGGAAGCCAGCACAGTGCTGCGCCACATTGCTCTGCTTCTAACACCGTGTTTTCCACACCAGACTTTACAGCAATGGGGTTTAAGATAAAGTCATCTGACTTTATTACAATGCGTTAATTACTCCCCAAGACTTACATTAAATATTAAAAAAAGAAGCGGACATTGACCTAAAGTGATGATGCAAGTCAATAAAAACCATTTTTGTAAGCTATTTCGTTCCCATTCACACATAGACAACACTGCACCGAATGACGGGGGAAAAAAAACCACCTTATTTTCGTTGCCCAAGGGAAATAACATAACCGAGAATCCCGAGATCTGCATCCTAAAATGAAAAGCTGCAGGTGAGAGCAAGCAGAAAGCCCGAAGCGCTCCCGTCTCTTATTTACGCGGAAAAAAACACCATATCCGCAATAAAGCCAGGGGCAGTTTGAGGCGTTTCTCCTTTTCCCCAACGCAGCCCGCTATGACGAGGGATGATCAGCTAAACAGGACTCCGCGAGGGAGCGGTTCTCTCCTCCGGCACCTCAGAACAGCAGCTCCAGAGCCCTTCCTCAGCGGCGGCCTCTCAGCGGGGCCCCCCGCGGGCTGCGGCAGCCTCGGCAGGACCCGCCCGGGGAACACACACACACACCCCACACACACACACACGCACCGTCCCTCTCAGGTAACCGTTTACCGGCGGCCCCAGGCTCACGGAGCAGCAGTAACGGCTCCGGGGCGGAGGGCTCGGAGGAGCAGATGGTACAAGCCGCTGAGCCCGGCCCTCCCGCGGGGCCGCCCCTCCGAGCGGCTGCCGAGCGCCTCAGAGGCCGGTAACGGAGGCGCGAGCGCGGTGCGGGCCCCGAACACGACGGGACTCACCTGTGCGGCAGGTGCGACCGCAGCTCCGGCCCCGCGGCATGCAGGCACTCCGCGCCTGCGCGCTGCGCCGCGGGACCACGCCTGCGCAGGGCGCTGAGGGGGGAGTCGGGACTACAAACAAGATGGCGGGCGGGGCGGGCGCCATCTTGGGGGTAGTTTGTTTGCACCGCCCTCAGCCTTAAGCGCTGGGCCTACGCTGCCCGCCCAGGCAGGAGGTGGTGCCGGTCGCCTGGATTTAACTCTGGTGGGCTTTCTGCCTCCGCTCCCTCGCTGTCATAGTGATCCCTAAGACCCGAACGCATGCCCCAGCTTACGGGGCAGGAATGGGGGAGTACCAGAGTCGGAGACGGGCGTGCTGCAGCGATGCTCGGAGCAGCTGCTAAAGCCGCAAACACTTCTGTGTGGGTTTTGTTAGTGTCCTCTCCCCTGCCCTTCCAGAGGTAAGACTAAATTCTTGCTAGACCATGTTTGCTTGTTCCCCCACTGGAGGCTCCGGCAGTGCGGATGCTGGGTGAGCCCTCCCCAAGGTCACTGTTATTCCTCTGTCCTTGTCTTAGAAGCCTGGCTCCGGGGCTGTGCTCTATGAGGGAGGGCATCCCAAACAGCCAGCACGCTCTGTGCATCGCCTGGCGCTTCTACCCCCTAAGCGGGGTGCGTGCTATCATCTACCTTCTGCTGCCTTTTCCCTCCACCTCCACTCCCAGCGCCTCTCACCTTACCTGGGGTAAGGCCCTGCCCCAAACATGATTGCACCAAGGTGTTTCCCAAACATAATCCATATTGTGGTTTCTGGCGCCACCCGGTGGTCCTCCGCACAGCTCGTCCAACTCGTTCCTTAAGTAATGCAAGGCTGTTACTGAACACCAGCGGAGGAGGGGAGGCGAAGCTGAGGCAGCGTGCCGGTAATTCACAACCGAGCGTGTTCCCAGCAGGAAGGGAAGAGCAGCGCTAGAGTGTACTGCTGCTGGGGTCATCCCAGCCCCGCAGAGGGATGCATCAAAACATCTGATTGAGCTAGAGGGTTGCTGTGCGTGGCCTGATCCTGCAAGCAGTTCAAAATGTAACATTTCTCCCTCTGACAGCTCTTGTGACCACACAGTAAGGAGCATACAGCATATACAGCTTTAGTGCTGTAAAGGGAGCCTGCTTCGTTGTTTTTACCACAGGAGACTCATCTGAATCGTTGAGGGCTGTCCCAGGTGATGGATGGTTTGTTTCCACTGAACACAGTGGAAGGGACAGCGGGAATCAGGTAAAGAGCCTGGGGCTGGGCCTTAGCAGGCACCTCTCTCTTCCATTACAGTATTCAGGAGAACAGCAGGGCACAAACATAACTGTGCCATCTCTGCATACGCTGCCCTCACCAGGTTCGTTCAGATCCATTGGGCCAGCATGACTTCTCATGCCTTTTAATGCAGAGAGCAAAGCTGTCTGGATCCAGAGGGCAGAGCTGTTACAGCATCAGATCCTGATCTTCTGTAGAAACTGCCAGCAACAGTGCTTCGGCAGGATGGGCTTTCCTCCTGGCTGCACTTACCAAGCATCTTCCCAGGCTACAGAAGTCATGATTGCTTATCTTCAGTCACAGATGGGAAATGAAGAAGCATGCTGCACTGCAAGGCCAGAGATCATGGAGAATGGCAAGCTTATAAGGTAAGTTGTGCAAGACAACATGATGTAAGAGCGTGTGTTTCCAATGTGTATTGGAGCTCAAATCCGATAACCTTGTTACATGGTGTGCCAGCATCAAAAGGAGCCCTTGAAGAGCTCCTGCAAAAGGCTGCTGCTTCTCTGGAAGACAGAACACTGTAATAATGCTTTGAGGGCAGGGTTGCAAAGTTGTTTTCTGCAAACCTCATTTCTTTGTATCACAGCCAATTATTCAGTCATGCTTTCTGCGGCTTTCACGACAGTAGAAGAATTGAAAGGAGCACTCTTATTTCAGTGGTATGTAGAAATCCACTTTCCACATCATCACTGCACATCCACTGTATTGAGCATCTACTGACAACATTAAGTGGGGCAGCACTGCTTACTGTGCAAAGCAGAGGTTAGCTGCTCCGTTTTCTTGAGGCAGAAAGCTGCTTAGCTGAGTCTGGGTGGTTTATGGTCAAGGAGCACAGACATGAAAGGGCCATATACCTCTTCAGCAGTTCCACTGAATGGGGAAGACTTCTCGTTTTCAGCACAAACCCTGTTTCTGCCCAAGCTGGGATTGCTGGCTCTTTGTGTGCAAGTAGGGGTGGCTCCATATCTTCCAGCCTAGAAAACAGATCACATCAAATGCCTTTTTCTTTTATGAACCCATGCCTTTTCTTCATTAAATATTTACTTGTTTAGCATTTACTTTCTCTGCACTCACTTCCTAGTAAGTATTAATGGTAACTAAAGCAATGAATGCTTAGCATGTCTGAAAGCATAGCTATGTATCAGAGGTGTGCAGAGGAAATAATGGGAAAGGGGAAAATATAATGATGTACAGCATTTTTTCATTTTTTTTCTGAAAAAGCTCTAAGTGGGGCAACACCACAAGGGTTACAATAAAGGGTGGAAGAAAATCTTCAGAAGACACCTGGGCTATTGTCTCAATGCAGAAGAGCAGGGTAAGGAAGTAATCAAAATATGCAAAGAAAAGCTATACGTGTATATGTACATAAATGGTTATGATCACAGGTATGTTATATAGGATATCTCATTATGTGTTACTTATATACATTATACATATATATAGTGAACTGATGTAATATGGATATAGAATTAACTGAATGCATGGTCCTGGAGACTGAGTAGTTTGGGCTTGAGCTTTGGACTTAAGTATGCTCAGTGTGTATAAAATAATTAGCAAATTAAAATAATTAGCAAATTAAAATTAGCAAATTAAAAAAGCATGGTGCCGTGTAGTAAGGCTCATCCTTTTATAAACATCCTCTGATGCTTATAGAACAGAGCTATGGTTTATATATAAAACAGAGCTACTGAAGCTCAGACTGTGTTGTGCTGCTCAGCCCCAGCACAACGCTGGCTGGTCTACAGAACTATGTGACAAATGTATTGCCTCATCAAGCAGGGCAGAAGCCATCCTGTTACTCCCAGGGCTGGGAGCTGACTCTGAAGCAGGCAGGAGGAAAGGCAGACCCTGGGAGGCTAGTCACTTCTCCATGAGTCCCAAGGTCAGGATGACCCCCATCTCTCTCTGTTCACCATTCAAATGCATGGAGGTTGACACAGAAAATCTGAGAGGCTTTCAAGAAGCCAGCTGAAGCCTTTGCATTGCTGTTTACTACAGAGCAGCTTCAGGCTATTCCCTGGCTGCGATTTTACTTGATGGGGAATGAGTCAGCCAGAAAATCTGTTTCATACTGAAGCAGAAGAAATCTTAAGACAAATTGCACATAAGAAAAATTTGCTAGCTCTACATCATACCCCTCCTGTGTTGTAGACTAAACAAGAAATTAGTCATCTACCTGCTTATGTAAGCAGAAAGCAAAATGCCCTTGATATGGGAAGAGTGGGACACCACAATGTGATTCCACTTTTTGAAAGTGATTTGGGGAACTACAGACCACAAAGCTTAATGTCTCTATCAGGCAAATGCATGGAAGCTACAACAAAGAATGTAATTGGTGGAAATGTGGGAAACGTATGGTAAAATAGTGATGAGTCATGATGGTTTTATAGAGGGAAAGCAGAGAGGCTGGAGATCCCCATCAAGAATGTACCTAGTAGACCAGAGTTAATAGCCCAATTAGTGGCCATGTGTCATTCTCTAGAATGCAAAAACGCCTTAAATTTAAAATTTAAAACAAGCTTTTCGTTCTTTGAATGCCAATGGCCTTTCTCTGACATTGTCCTTTCCTTGAGAGCTGTGGTTCTAAACATGGATGAGGACTCTTTACTGAGCACTGCTGTCTTCTACCAGGTCAGCCAGGCTTGTTTTGAAGGCATGTCATAAAATCATTGGCCAAAGGATAAGAAAACACAGCTAGCACAAGCTGATATTGCTAAATGGTGAGTACAAGTGGTTTTAAGCTCAACTGGCAGCTGTGGGCAAAGGGAAACCCCACCTGATAGCGACCCGAGTTTTCTGTCTCTAACCATCTGGCCCAGCCCTCTCTTCTCCTGGTACACGTGATCTTTGCCCAGTGTCCCTTGGGAATTATGGTCCACACACACACCCTTCTGGCATTTAGACCTGGCTTTCCGTTTCTGTGGGTGGCGTGCCTGTGTTTTACGTAGCACAAACACCAAAGGCTACCCCAGTAATAGAGGCTGGCCACTGGCTGGCTTGGAGCCATGTGTGGGAGCCTCTGGGCCAGACACAGGCTTGGCCTCTCCTTTGCATGGTTGGGGTTGGGTAGCCACTTCTTGGTCAGCCCCGAGCCCTAGGAGTGTGTGGCTTTTTTGCACCCTAGGGGGTTGGAACTGTGCAAACCATGGTCCCTGAGCTTGCCTTTGCTTCTTGTTACTTTCTGTTTTCAGTTAAACTTTAATTACTAAGTTCACCTCTTATTAAATCTTTTCCTGGATACACTTTTATATATATATTTATGTTCTGCAAATACAAAAAATATAAGTGAATTTGTATCTGTAATATGTTTTTACTTATTTTTACAGTTTTGCATATGTAGAAATAGGTTTGTGTATATACATAGCTCTTTACATAGCAGGTCAGGTAACAGCCACCCTGTAGCCTGCATGGCCTACGTCCTGACTCAGGCTTGTACTCATTGCCCTGGTGCAGGTGTTGGGTACAGCCCCTGTGGAAGAAACGTGCTCCGGCTCTGTGAGGAATCGATTATAATAACCCTCGCTGGAACACAAGATGGAAAAGAGGATAGCGGAAACAGGCTTAAGCACCTGCTGTTGTGATCTTCAGGGTCTTGTAGGGTAAACAACTCCATTCATCATTTCTGCAGTTGAGCAGAGGCTGTTTAATGGAAACATGCTGCTTCACTTCAAGATAAGGACAAGGACAGGCTGGTGGCATCATTGCCAGATGCCAAGTGGGAGCTGTCTACAGGCTCCTCCAGTCCAATTTGCTGGTGCAGCTCATCCCGTGGCAGGGGTCCAGACCAAGCTTCTCCCGCAGCACACACAGTTATGCCACTGGGTCAGAGCTTGCATGGGGTCACCTTGATGCCCTGTCAGGATCAATGGGAACGGTTGATCTTCCAGCATGCTCCGGGGGCAGTCGTGCAGTGGCTTGGCTTTGGAGAGGGAACCCAGCATGTGCAGGGAGGGAAGAGACAGCGATCTTAACTTTTGTTAAATAGAGATAACGTGACAATGGAGAGGTGTGGGAAGCCTGTGATAAGACATTGAGAACCCAAGCAGGGCAAACGGCACCGAGCTGGGGAGGCAGCAGCCCCGAGGCCGTTCTCAGTGGTTCTGAAAACCACAGGTAGTAAACGCAGAGGTAAAGGGTGGCACAAGTAGGAACCGCGGGCGGGGCGGACGCGGGCCCTTTAAGAAGGAGAGAGCGGCCCGAGCGCCCCGCCCGCGCATGCGCGGAGCCTTCCTCAGCGACTTATTCGGCGCTACCGGCGGCGGGGTTGCGTGCCCGTGCTGGAGCAGTGTTGCAGTTCGCCGCACGCATGCGCAGAGCGCCGCGGGGCCCCGCCGCCCGCCGTGCGCTTTGTGGCGCTGCCGGAAGCGGCCGCGGGGAGCGGGGCCAAGCGGAGCCGGGGCAGCGCGGAGCGGCGTCCCCCCCTGTGTCGCCTCGGCCGCCGCGGGCACCATGGAGCCGGCGGCCTGAGGGCGGAGCGGCCGGCCCTGCCCGGACATGCCCGCCGGGCCCTTCGGCGCAGGTACGGCTGCCCGGGCCCTCCCGCCGCGGCGCTGCCCGCTCCCGGCCCGCTCCTGCCGGCGGCGGGGCCTGTGGCGGCAGGGCGCCGCCCGGCCGTCTCCACCGCGCCGGCCTCTGCGCTGCCCGCCGCGGGGCCGGGCCTGCGGGACGGGACAGAGCGGGCGGGGGCCGCGCTCATCCCCGGGGGTCGCCGCAGAGCGGCTGCTGCGGGGGGTCCCGGCCGATGTGGCGGAGCCGCTGCAGGGCGGGGGGGGAGTGAGCCAGAGGACCCCTCGCGCCCACTCGCGGTCTTGGGGTCCTTCTCGGCTTGTGTCCCGGCTGCGGGGGGAGGGTTTCGAGCTGCGGTTCGGGTCCCCGACACAAGCGTGCGGTGTCACCGGGGGCCGGTGAGCTCCTTCCCCCCGCAGGCTGGCCCTCGCCTGCGGGAGGGAGGGAGGGAGGTAAAAGTTTGCATTGCTGTTCCCTTGCAGACTTTCTTAGGACTCATCCAGTGATGCCTTGCGTTCCTGGCTGCAGGCCTGCCTTTGCTTTCCCTTGCTGATTTGTCGTCCGTTTGATCTTCAGGGTCCGCGGGCAGTAGGTCAGATTCCCTTTGGAAACCGGGGAACAGCAGCAAAAGCAGAGCAAGGTTCTGCTCCCCGGGTGCAAGGGACTGTAGCTTCAGGAGGTCCCTTCCTGGTTGTGTAGTTTGTGGAGTTGCACAAGGAACTAGACTGAGGAAGAAATGCCAGTGTAAAATAAACTGTAGAATAAAAACTATTCCTACTTTGGGTCAGGGAAATGCTCTGTTCTGCAGGCGGGTTCATTGACACAAGTGAGGGATGAGAAAACTCAGTAAATTCTCAGGTCCCCTGCCTGGAAGGTAATTTTCTCAAACCTGCTTTTGGAGATGAGAGTGTTGGTGAGAAGAAGAGTAGCACTGATGGCTGAGTAATGAAGCTTAAAAGCAGAGTAATAGCCAAAACATACAAAACTAACTGATGCTTTTGCTTTCTGGTGGCTCTGTTAATCTTCAGATATTGCAATGTGTAAGTGTTAGGCAGACGCTCTCTTCGTGGCGGGTGCCCAGCTTCCTGCTTTGGGAATGTTGGTGTCCAGTGGTGCCCTCAGAACCAGCATGACTCTGAAGTCAGCGAGTAGGAGTGCTGGGGAAAGTGGGACCCAAGCCCTGAGGCTTATATGGCACCTTACATATGCGATCCAGCCTTCCCTGTAATCACATATTAACTTCTCCAGTTAGGTGGTAAAATCAGACAAATACACCTTCCCTGGGCAAAGGAGGCTGTGATTCAATTCTCAGTAACACTGGGGCTGGATGGCCTGGGAAAGGATGACATGAGCTCCTGTTTTTTCTGTGCCTGATTTCTTCCTGCTTTGAATCTAGACTTTTTTTCATTTAATAGCAATCCTGACATGCATCTTCATTTATTCTTTAACCAAATCCTGACTTAGAAAATCCAGCTTTCTGCTGGTGTTTCTGTTTGGCCTTTGCCTTTTTTTACTGTTTGCCTGCTCTCTGCTCTGCTGCTGTCCTTTACACACACTGTGTGCTTAGGGCAGAGCCTACTGCTTGGATGGGCTCCAGAGGTGAGCTGCCTGGAGGGGTCCATGCTGTTTCAGTCCTGCTGGGCCTAATATGAGAGGTGCTGAGTTAGTCTTGGCAGGACTGGAGTTGTTCTCTCTAGCATAAACTTGGAGGGCAGAGGGACAGCAGTGTCCAGGTGGGTATGTGGCACTTGTCCAGGCTCAGAATGTCTGAAAAAATAGCTGATAAACTTCTCTGGTACATGGTCCAGGGAAGGTGCATTGTGGAAGGTGCTTTCTGGCAGTGGTTGTTGCCTGTAGAGAGCAATGTCAGTACTACTGATGTAGCAGGGATTGTGTTAGAGAGAGATATATGTGAAATACTTTATTCATATCTCGGAGCTTTATGGTGTCGATCCTTTATTGATGCTTCTCCGGTTAGGCTCTGTTAAGTCTTCCACCTTCCTTGTGCACCTCTCTGCTGGTGGCTTTTTGCATTTCCTCTCTTCATAACAATTGTCTCAGCTCTGCTTTATTTGGTTCTAATAAAACCCCAGAAGCATCCATTTTCAGGACAGCTTGTCTCTGGGCCTGAAATCCTTTTGCATTGTAGGCAAACATTTCATTTTATGTGTGAAGCTGCTGAGCATGAAGGGCTCAATATTCGCGGTTGCCCCCAGCACTGCCCTCACTGAGCACAGGCTTTCTGAGGAGCTGCTTTGGACACCAGTGCCGGTTCCCTGACCTCTCCCCTGCATGTGCTCCAAACCCCCATCTCTGCTTTAGGCTCTGAGCTTCTGCGTGTTCTGTGAGAGTAACTGCAGAACGTGGGTCTATTATGTAGTTAGGGAATTCTCACTGCCTGTCTTTACTGATCCAAGAGTTTAAATATTTTGGCTGCAGTTGTTCGTATGAAGTCTTTGGGGATGTGAAACAGAACTTAAATATCCTTACTTTTGAGTTTTATGTGCTCATTAGCTAGTTCTTTCACACTCACCAACTTCTACAGTGTTTATGAACTGAGGATCTTTGGTCTTAAATGCTGAAACACCCATTTTCAGTGGTTTATACAGTTATAGCTACTACAATTCCTAAGCTGAAATGGGTCTGGGGGGAATATGTTGAAACCCAAATTACTTGCCACAGTAAGGAATGTTGTAATTATGCTCAGTTTCATAGTAGGTGGTAAATATTTGAACTGCACCTCTCTCAGCTGTCATGCCAATGTAAATGCTGACAATTTCCTTCCAGGTCTGTCTGTGAGAACCTGGGGATGTTTTATGTAGTGTAGCCTCCAGGAACAGGAACAGGACCCCTGTCCAAGGCTGAGAGTGTGCAAAACTGCTGCTTGGTAGACTTCAGGGATGTATTTATTCTTCTTCCCACCCCTCCTCTTAATAAGATTGCTTGTCATTCTGAGGGTCCTTAGTGATTTGAACCTCAGTAAGACTTATGCTTAAGTGAAATCAGAATATTCAGCTGCATGAAACTTAGATGTTCCTTGGGCCAGTGAGGATGCTTTGTTTGAAGCTGAAATGCAGAAGCATTGCAAAGACAGAAGTAAAAATCAGGGAATGCTGCTTCCCTGGTGTGACAGCTGCATTTTTTTCTTCAATTTGCTGTTGCTGTGTAAGTAGTTTGTGATCAGTAACAGCCTCTTCTGAGGGGGTGAGCCCTGCTTCTACAGAGCATTAGGTGCTTTTTGTCTAAAGCAAATTACAGAACTGTTAGTGTGTTGTATCTGTTGAAACACATTGTAACAGATACTGTGGTGTGGGGGGACTTACCAGCCTTTTTCAACTTACGTCCAATTTTAAGACGCTGAATAGTAGATGGGTTTAGCTGTGCCCCAGTCTGAACAGATGGCAGCAATTTCCAATTCAAATGGCAGTTGAAGTAGAGTATTAAATGAAAAGTGACTTCTAGTCCTTGCAAATAAAAGCTTCTTACTGCTAAATGTACAGGGCAAATAAATCAATACCCCAGGAAATCCCACCGCAAAAGGATTTTACATCTGGAACAATTGTTTCAATGTTCCTTGCATATAGATAAGAGTAACAGAAGATTTCTGGCAAGACCAAAGGAAGTCTTGAATAAGATACAGATTTGATCATTAAATTTATGTATGAAGTTCAGGCAGCAGGCTGGATATATGAGGCACCAGAGGTTTCGGTTACCCTGTCCTGCTGCTAAACCTCCCTTAAACATTGCATATTATGTCTGTCTCAGAAGTGTGGAAGGTTACACTAAAGATCTTTGCATCTTTGCTTCAGCATGGCAGCGAACTGCATGAAGGCAAGTGGTTGTGTCCTCCCCTTCCCTTGCCCTAGTGCAATGTGGGTTTTCCAAAATGCAGCAGGATTTGTGAATCTTCATCCTCTCTGATGACTTCTATCGTCTGTGCAAGGAAGCTCCTACACAGGTGCTGCGTACAGTTTGTGCTGTGCAACAGTTCCATGCTTCTGGGAACCCTATTCTGGTGTAAGGGCAGGCACACTACGTGTGCTTGCAGTTATCAGCACACTGATAAAGTTCCTGTGAGCTGCCAGTCCTTCAGCTGGAGCGTGGTGATGGAAAGTACATGCTGCTTTATCAGCTGAAATCGGTTTATTTAAACCAGCCCTCCTCAAATGGTGTTATGTGCTTCTGCAACAAGCTTGAGTGTCAAATGGGAGAATGGAAAGTGCCTTTGCCCTTCCTGTGTGGTGAGCAGCAATGCCAGGGCAGATGAAGGGGCATGCTGCTCTGGGGTACAGGTAGTGCTGGAGGTTTGCAAGGGAAAGGGGGAGGCTTACAAAGTGGATGATACTTCACTTCTGTCCCTCCTTCTTCCACTCCAAACACAAGCTGGAGACTAAGGCAGTGTTCTGATGGGACAGAAAGGGAAGATACAGAGGCCCCATGATATAAAATAGGATATAAAAGGAAATGATACCTCTGAGGAAACCTGTATCATGAAGTTAAGGAGTGACTGACTCACTGAATTAGTGACCTACATCACTAATGATTGTGGGTCATGCTTATTTTGCGGGTTTTGTTTGATGGTGGTTTGTTTTGTTGTTGTGACTTCTCTGTGTCCCAAGAGATAGTGTCCCGGAATTGTTTTGCTCTAAGCTAAGGGTTTTGACCACAGTGGCACATGCATTCTCCCTGCCATGGCTCCCAGAGGAGGGAAAGCGCCTCAAGGATGGAGAGGATATGCTTCCTGCAGCCTGTGGCTGCTCTGATTAATCTGCTGTCAGATAACCACACGTGATTGCTGCCTCAAACCAGGAAGGACGTAGTTTGGGAAGCCAAGATCTTGCTGCCTCGCTTTCCCTCCTGCCTTGAAGGGAATCATCAGGCCTTTTACATGAATTTTGGGTGTAAATAAATACTCGTGGAGTCGGCTAAATACAAAGACTTGCTTAAATGGTGGCTTTTCTCTAAGAAGGTGTATTTCCAGGCCTGGCTTCTTATTTGGTTTTGGGCCAAGGAATGTCTAAGGGAGGCATTGAAAATATTTCCTGTATAAGTAACTGGCTTCCAAAATGTGCCGCCAAAGTGCAGTTGGCAAATGGTCCTCAGGGTGCCATTTGTGACAGCTTGAGCTCATCCAAGCTGTGACTGTTGAACATTCCTTGCTTTTCCCCTGTGCCAACCCTGTTTTCCTTGTGTTATTATTCACGTGGTCAACTGGCTCAGACAGCTGATAAAACACTGCTGGTGTTGGTGGAAGAGGAGGAAAGGGGATAGTTTGGTCCCAGTTCCATGGCTTAGGTTGTTCAAGTGGCAGTTTTAATGTTGCTGTGAATGGCTACAAAAGCCTGCTGCTGCTGCAGGCAGTTTCTCTTAGTTTTCCAAACTGAAACTTGCTGTTATCTTTTTCTTAAACCCCAAACCCAAGCTCACAGCTGTATTTAAAAACAAAACAAAAACCCACCACAGCATACTAAGGTTGAAAGCCAGCTGTTGGAATCTCTTCCAGATCTTCAAATGTGTGACATGGACACATGCGTCTTGAATTTATAAGGGTCCATATCATAGAATCATAGAACGGTTAGGGTTGGAAAGTACCTTAAGATGATCTAGTTCCAACCCCTTTGCCATGGGCAGGGACGCCTCATACTAAACCGTGTCACCCAAGGCTCTGATATCATGGCGAACAGCCTCAGTTTTGGTAACTCGTGTTACAGACATTTGTACTAATTATGAGTTCTTTTCCTTCCTTGCCCCCCAGGTGTTTGGATTGTAGCATAGAGGCACTATGTACTCAGAGTGGAGATCCTTGCATCTTGTCATTCAAAATGATCAGGGGAATACTAGTGTACTTCACAGCTATCCTGAAAACGTGGGGAGAGAAGTGGCAAACGCAGTGGTGCGTCCTCTTGGACAAGCTTTAATTACATCATCTGTTGGGAGTGAGAGTTTACTGAAAACGGACAAAGAAGTAAGTGCATTTCCTTACAGAGCATAGTTTCCTTCATGCTAGAGTGGCAACGTAATGATTTTCTGTAGCCTCCTTTATTTTTCTCTGTAGTAGTCCAAAGTTGTATGAAGTATGCTATATTTTTAGGTTAATAGTCTAAATAAGGCTTCTGTTAACATAGCAACAGTGTACTTCATGACCTGGTAGCTCAGATAAACGCTACTGAACCAGAAAGTTCAGGCTAAAACAACAAAAACCAACCCCAAACCCACCAAACGCCATCAAACTAGTAAAAAAAATGAACAAGGGATGCAGCAGTTAACACACATGGAGCCTTTCTACTGACTTTCATTTTGGAAGCAACAGTGTGTGACTTCTTAAAAGGTCTTTGAATAGCACAAGTATTCACTAGAATTTGGAAATCTTTCATTGCATCAGCTCTTGTGTGTTCTGAAGAGTTCTCTCTACAGGTTAGACTGGGATTCAGGGTTTAGAGTGATTTGCCACTTATTATTAATCTTCTTAACGTCATGATATACAAATTAATGACTTGGTGTTTTCTTCCAATATATGTTAAATAGAATTGCCCGTACCACATAACTACTGTTGCATTGTTGAGGTAGAGCCAGTGTGCTCTGACCATTGTTTACCTGCTAATATTTATCTGTAATAATAACTTCTGCTTTGTTTCTTTAGGTAAAATGGACTATGGAGGTGGTTTGTTACGGCCTGACCCTCCCTCTGGATGGCGATACTGTGAAATACTGCGTCGATGTATATACAGATTGGATTATGGCTCTTGTATTACCTAAGGACTCCATTCCTTTACCAGTTATTAAGGAACCAAACCTTTATGTTCAAAGCATTCTCAAACATCTCCAAAATCTCTTTGTACCAAGGTGAGTGTTAGGGCTGGAACACTCAGGAGGCTCAGGAATTCAACATCCTTGGATGGTAATGTTGAGATTCACATGCTTTTAGGTCTTGGACAAAGTTACATAGTCAAGGTGCTCAAACATCATGCTTCCTATATCATTTGATAAGTTTACCTGCTGCTGTTGAACACACATTGGATAAGTAAGAGGAAATTATTTAATGGTGCCCTATGAAACAGTACTTAAATATTAGCTATCTGAAACTACTTCAGATCAATGTTTAGTGTATGTCTGTAAGTACCAGATCACCTGCTTTTGTCACTATTAGTAATGTATTATTGCAAGTGGTCTTCAAAGTGCTCTGCTGCGCTTGTATCACTGAACTTTACTTGAATGCTTTGTTAATAACTGATACAAATTCAGGCAAGGATGTCATTGCTCTTTATTACTTGCTTCAGAGTGCATCACCTAACCTTAGTTGTCATTGCTCTTGGTTTGTAGAGTAAAAGGGCGTTTTAATTCCTATTAAAGGATGGTCAGGACAACAACACAAACCTGAGTAAAGCAGGCTTCTGCAGGAAGTTGTCTCTAAACTTTTAATACATGCAGAACAGAGTCTACTGTCTGGGAACCTTTATTCCCTTGGCACAGTAAAGAATGAATTCTTCACTAGTCCGTGAAATAGTTGTTGCTGTGATCCCCTGACTGCCTTCTCACCAGGGGCTCTGGTAGCAGGCAGTTCAGTGGTCGCATATCTGTTGGCGCAAACTGCTATTTCACCTTTATCTCCCAGCTTCATTGACGGAGTTCAGTGAAGGGTGGTAAACTGCACAGGGTGGCTCTTGAGTAAAATAATTAATATCCAGAAACAGGGAGTGCTGGAAAATCATTATTTTAAACACTCTACTCCTCTTCCTCCCTCCCCCAGTATAACTGTTCTGTTGTTTTTCTTTCAAAGGCCTCTGAGATGTATTTGAAACACTTTTTTCATTGCTGAAAACCTGAACTTTTTGTACTCCAGAGAGCTGTGTTCAGAATTCACTCCAGCAACAGGAATACGTTCTGTAATGGAAATTAAATGCAGAACTGGGTTGTGCGCACCTCGCTTGAGTGAAAGCAAATCCTTATGTGCCTGGGGAGGGGAAGAGAAGAATAATTTCTGGTTTTACCTAGTTGATACAGGTTGTTGGTGCTGATGGGCTCCTGTAGAACGCCTGCGCAGGAGCTCTTGTAGCAACATGCGTTGAGCTATCTCCTGGAAGAGTCTCTTATTCTTGTGTTGAAAATACTAAGCCTTTATTATAAGCCTATGTCCTATGGAGGGTTGTGATTAAAATAGCTTCCTTCCTCATCCTGGTTTCCAGGAAACGATGTAGCTGTTGGTTTGGCTGCCTGAAAGTGGTGGCCCAGAGCTGAGGTGAGGGTTTCAGATGTAGAGTTGAGGTGTGAAATGCAGCAGCCTTAAGTGGGCAGTTTGACTTAAATAGCATCTCAGGAAGATGTATACACTAAATACAAAGCAGGTGTGTATAAAACATTCCAGTTTGAGTGCTTGGCTGTAGCATATGTTTATATGCACAGTCCTTGAAATGGTGTGGTGCCAAGAAATAAGAACAGTGAAAGATGGAAGAGTCAAGTTGCCTTTTCTCTATCTCCTGGAGAGACTAGAGAGAGGGTACTTGCATCCCTCCTTCCTGCACTGACCTGCCCAACCCAGTGGAACGAACACTTCTTTTCTTGATGTATTTGAGCAGTCCCCAGGAAACCCTTAGGCTTTCTGTCTCTAACAACCCTACAAACTCTGTAAGCCGTGCAGATTACTGAAGAAGTAGTAGTAGTTACTGCTGTTAGCTAAGGTTTTGGTGCCACAAACTATTGGAAACACAGAAAGAAAACATGGGAACTCTCTCCCTCTTCCCCTCCCCAGGAGACTGAGATGTAGATACAAGGGTCTTCTGTGCAACTAAAATGTCTGGAATTGATTGAGAGACCATGCAACGTGTGACTGTCCAAGTGTAATAGATGCTTTTTTTGTAGTAACTTCTGCATTTCATATGAAATCATGAGAACAATTCTTGTCACAAAGGAGTGTGGAAACCAAAAGGCCAAGCTCTGAGAAATCTAGACATGAATCTGCAAAATACTGCAACCAAAGTCTGCAATTCAGTTGGCTTTGCAGACAGCAGGAGCTGGTAGATGTAGAGGGACTTTAGAGTTGCCTGATCAGCTCAAGGTATCCCACTGGTCATCTTGTATATAGAGCTCCTATGTGTAAACCCCCTTTTTATAGATTCCCTATATTATTAGGGAAACAAGTCTTGAAACAGGCTTTGAACCTTCAAGTCTGTCAAATATTAAAGATACCTTTCAATTAGAGTATCTGTTTTGTTGTTGATCAGGAGAAAAATAGTGCTATGACCAAGGCAGGGCTTACTGGTCTCAAGCTTTGTTCTACAGAAACTGTTTGTTAGGATCTAGCACCAGCATCAAGCAACTCACTTAAGTCCTGAACTGTGACTAGTCTGCAGTTTGGCATTAGATATTATCTAGAGTCTTTGTAGTCTTGTTTCCAGTACTGTAATGCAACATTTATTCTATCCAGATAATAGTTGATAGTATTTTTAAAAGGTATCTGACAATAATCTTGCTGTGTAAGAAAAGCAGATCTCTATCTAGTGGATCAGCATGTTCTTGAGATACTTGCCATGCAGTGTGACTTGTGGGTTATACCACACTGAAAGTGTTTGGAAGAATCTGGAACTACTACTTAGTAGTCCAATGGAAGGTAATATTTTTATGGTTTCTTTTGTCATCCGTTCCGTAAGTGGTAGGAGGGACGAAACAGTGCACAAGTTGAAATGCACCTTGTGTATATTGCACACTGTAATTTGAAATCTCTTCTTTCACCCTTCCAGCTTTTAGGCTTCCTCAGCATTGTTCGTTGGTGTCCTCAGATCCTGTCCAGAATGTTTCATGTTACTGTTTTGTACCCCTTCTGCCTTGTCCTAACTGATGGGAAAAGAGTGTGCTGCTTTGGGCTGCTTCTGCAGGACTTCTTGTTGAGTGACTCAGCAGTGGCAGTGTGGAGCTGGTTGTTATTATAAGGAAGACCTTGATAATATCAACTTGTTCCCTTTCTTCCTTACTTACCGCCTCTTCCTTTAGTCTGACTTTTTTGTTTAATGACCCTCTTCTAGGTACTATTTTTTCCCCCTAAATCCAAGGAATTGGGTTTAAGAGTTGCGTCTACATTTGGAAGCAAGAGGAAAACTAGGAAGAATTTAAATTAGTCTGCTAATAATGTTTCTCCTAATTTTGACACTTTCCTTCTGAATTATGTATGTAACAGTGACGTCTTACATTCTCATTGTTTGGCCTAAGATAAATTCCCTTGAGATAATGGGGTGTGTTCACCTTATGGTGGCAAGTTCTGTGCCATTTAGAGAAGAATGTTATGGTACATCTTGTACTCACTAAGGCAGAGTTAGGATGCTTAGAGACAGAGTTAAGGTGTATAGAAGCATATTAGCTCATGTTCTTGGCTCTTGTTCAATAATATTGATGTTTCCTCTTGTAATCGCTCAAAGTTCAGATTATTGTACATATCACTTTATAGTTCTTGTTTAGAGACTCAAGTGTTGTTTTCTTCTCTTGCAGGCCAGATCCAGGATCTAGTCAGATCAGATTGTGCTTGCAGGTTTTGAAAGCTGTCCAGAAGCTGGCTCATGAATCGACAATTATGGCAAGAGAAACCTGGGAGGTTTTGTTATTATTTCTTCTTCAGATCAATGACACTCTTCTAGCAGCTCCAACTGTGCAAGGTTCATGTTCCGCTTTCATTTGGTTCAATTGCTGGAAAACCTTTGTCTCTGCTTGATGTTGAGCTGCCAGGGGAATGGGGTGAAACCTGCTGAAAGCTTTTAGTAGCCACTAAGGCACCATAGCTCACTCCTGTTTTGGCTACACTACTCTGAAGTAAAGCTTTGTCAGAAAAGACTGAATGGTTTGGAGCTGAGTTTTCCTAAATGTGTTGTTGCAGAATAGCGACTTTGTACATAACAGTTCTTGATGAATGGTTTCAGATGGTTGCTCCCTCCTTGTTTCACTGAAACCCTCATGTGTCTTGCTGTTTGGCCTGCCTGCTTGGGAAATCATATTGTCACTTTATATCTATTAAATAAAAGACATCAGTATAGATAGAATGCAGTGGAAGACAGGCTAAGATCAGGGAATTGCCAGTGTCCTTTAGTGACACACGTATTTGGCTGCATATTGTATATTATGCTTGGTCTTGTAAAAAGGCGAATTGGCTGTAGGAAGCAATTGGGAATCATTCTTAAATGAAAAAAAAACGTAAGAGTCTTTACACACTCATACTGAAATCTTGGGGAGATATTTGGGGTTATTTAGATCTCATACTCACTGAAGGTGTGCTCTGTTTCTGTTATAAGGTGGCATTGCTGAGAATCTGGCCGAAAAATTAATCGGCGTCTTGTTCGAGGTGTGGTTACTGGCTTGTACACGGTGCTTTCCAACACCACCTTACTGGAAAACTGCCAAAGAGATGGTGGCCAACTGGCGACATCACCCTGCAGTAGTGGAGCAATGGAGCAAGGTCATCTGTGCCCTTACTTCCAGGTAGGAGAAATCCCAAGGACATACACACATGTACTGGGATGATAATGGTTATAGTGTTTTTTTCCTCTGGAGTTGCTTATTTTTGGAACACCAGCAATCCAAAAGTGAATGAGCAAAACATAGTGAGAGATCTTGTGTCTAGTGGCTTTTACTGTTTTTAGAACCATAGAATGGTTTGGGTTGGAAGGGACCTTAAAGCTCATCTAGTTCCAACCCTGCTGCCATGGGCAGGGACATCCTCCATTAGACAAGGTTGCTCGAAGCCCTGTTTTGACTTGTGTGTGTGTCTTCATTCTGCAAGTGAAGATCTGAGTTAGATCTTCTCTGTAACTGTGTAATTTCATCATCTGTCAGATATTTAGCACTTTACAGTATGTTTACTAGTCTCCATCACTGTGACTCTTTATCATGTCCCATGAAAAATGAGTCAGGAATATTAGTGTCACATTATGTGTTTAATGACAGTCACCACCAAAACTGTTAGGTGTGTGTTACTACTTCATGTTGCTGTGTTTGAGGTAACTCTTGGACTCTGCTTCTCCTACCCTGTGGAGCTCAAGCTGTGCTATAGCTGCCTGGTGCTTGTGTCCTGGCAGTAGGAATGTGATGCGGGCTCTCCTCTGAGCGGTGGCATTCTGCTTCAGACAGTATTGGAGCAGAGCTGGACCAGACCTTGCTGGGCATGGGAACAGTGAGGATCATGGAATTGTTTAGGTTGGAAAGACCTTTAAGATCATCGAGTCCAACTATAAACACAGCAATGTCAAGTCCACCATGTCCTAAGTGCCATATCTGCACTTTAAAATGTTGCCCACCATTCCCTGGGCAGCCTGTTCCAATGCTTAATAACCCTTTTGGTGATGAATTTTTTCCTAATGCCCAATTTAAACCTCCCCTGATGCAACTTGAGGCCACTTCCCCTTGTATGAAGACTTTGTGGGACAAATCTCAGCCTCTCAGAGGAAGGAACTAAATTAATTGGTGAGGAGCAGGGGTCTGGGTCTCTTCTTTCCAGCAATCCTGAGACATCAATAACCAGTTCCATAAAAATTCAAAGATGTATGAAAATTGCTGCACTGTGAAAAACACAGTCCTTCGCTTTTCTGCAAGGGTTTATTTTAACTCTTGGAAACTTTTGCTTTTGAATTACCAGTCAAAATTCCGAGTGTGGATAGATTTTTCTAGGTTATGGGGCTGCCTTGTTAAACCTGTGGGAAATAAAGCTGCAATGCAAGTCCTGTGTATTTCCCACGCTATTTCTGTAGTTATTTTTAGCTCACTAGATGCAGCATTGCATAACAGAAAATATCTTATGATTCACTGGTCTGAAAAGAACAGCTCAGTCTCAAAACATGCGTTGGTGTTCTGCTCCATGCACTGTGCCCACACTTTAGCTTCCACTGTTGACTAACAGTCTTCATTCTGTTGATGCATAGTAACCTGCATGTTTTCTGTAATGCTGTAGTCTGCTGTTCAGTAATACTGGTTTACACCTAATACAAAGAAAGCTGAACTCCTCTGAGGTTAGCTTTAAGTTCAGTGGTATTTTGAACTCGTAGCTTTTTGATTTGTTTGGACCTTTGGGCAGGCTCCAAATGAGTTTAGCTTAGGGAAAGGTAAAAACTAATTTCTGGGAATGCTAGGATATTGGAAAAGTGTGTCTCGGATCTCTTCCATCCTTTTAGAGAAGAACATTGTGTCAGCTTCTGCAAAACACAGAGTCTTTCTTGAAGAGCTTGCTACTCTCTGGATTGCAAATCCTGTGCTGCGTGTAGAACAGCACTGAGTGTTTCTCATGGTATAAATTGTAACTCATCAGTAACCTGGAATTTAGACCTGTAATCTAATGTGACTTCCTGTCATAGGACACTAGCTAAAGAGCCTTAATGATAAGGGCTTAAATTCCTTCTTCATTTTCTTTTTCCCTGCTCCCTTCCTAGGCAGCATCTTGTCAGTTATGAGTGTGCCTGTGCTAACCAGTAACCCCCTGGCTAATCAGATGAGAGAGCTGAGGTGTTAGGCTTCCATAACTCTTTGATTTTGTTGGACCTTTGGGCAGGCTCCAAGGCATGTACCCTTCAAAGCTATAAGAGGACTAAATGACTGTATAAAGTGAGGAGCTCTAGGAAAACTCAGGATGTTGCATTGTTGCTTGCGGGCCCACCTGGGGATCACTGATTCCTTTGAGGCTCAGATGCATTGCTGATTTGAGGAGTATTAACTGAATGACAGATCTGCCTGACTTGCTTTCTAGATTGCTGCGTTTTACATATGGACCTTCATTTCCTCCATTTAAAATTCCTGATGAAGATGCTGGTCTGATTCCTCCTGAAATGGATAATGAGTGCGTTGCACAAACTTGGTTTCGCTTTTTACATATGCTGAGGTATTGTAATTACAGCCGTCCATTGTTCATGTTCTTGCATCATCTCTGTATGTTTGCATGACAAATGAAAGATTTCTCTGGAGATTCCTAAGGTTGAGCACACAAATAAAGTGTGAGAACCTTGTTATACCAGTGCCCTGTAGCAGTTTAGGGCAAGGTTATGCTGTTCAACTTTGAACTCTTTGACTCTTTTAGTATGTAAACTGGTTCATTTAGCTAGAAAGTTTTTAGCTATTGGTATTTTGAAGGATCTGAAAAACAAGACTTCAATACAATTTTGTTTCTCTGAGACAGCAAACAGGAAAAGCAGAACAATAGCTCCTAGAGATATAAACTGCTCCCATTTATTCTCTAGAATGTTAAATATAACCTACAAAAGATTTTTTTTTTTACAAAGGGTGTATCTCTAGTTTATGAAGAAAGCTATGCAGTTAATTTTAACATGCATGTTACTCTTCCTTAAATACACAACAGAACCAAGTGGCGTGCTTGGTTTTATAATTCTTGGGAATGGCATTGCATTCATTTTCTGAATGGCTGGAATATTGAGCTATGTACATAGAACTTCTACTAATTAAAGCTGGAGAAACATTAGACTTTCAAATCTAATTCTCATCCAATTTATTATTTTTCTTCATTTGTGATAGTAATGTCACAAGTGCTGTACTCTTCAAGTCTGGAATTGCTGTTACAGGATTTGCATCAGTCAGGAAAAATTGCTCAAACTTTCCATCCCATTCCCTTTCTTGTCACTGGTAATAGCAAAGTCATTGCTAATAATAATTTGAGAAGAATTTTAACAGTGCAAGAGCCTTTTAAACTGGGTTCAAAAAACTGTAAATAAATAATATTACTGCAACAGTGGGATTATACTGTTCTAAGACTGTACTATTCTAAGTGTATGCTCTGGTTCATTGGATCTTAATAACATTCTTACATGTATTTGGGTAATGTTTGAAGTTAAGACAATAAAGTACTGCTAACATAGGAAGTGAAAATTGACTTCCTGTGATGGAGTCACAGCTAAAAGTATATTGATATTTGATGCTGGTTTGTGGTGGTGGTGTTTAAATGCCTTAAACTGTTGTGTCTTTAAGTGTTTTTAAAATCCTAACAGCTGATCTTAAACTGACTAAAACATATTTTGCTCTTTTTGTGTGCAGTAATCCTGTGGATTTGAGTAACCCAGCCATTATTAGCTCTACTCCCAAATTTCAGGAGCAGTTTCTGAATGTGAGTGGGATGACTCAAGAACTGAATCAGTACCCCTGCCTTAAACATCTGCCTCAAATATTCTTTCGTGCCATGCGTGGGATCAGCTGTTTAGTGGATGCATTCCTAGGTAATGCTTTTGTCCTACCTGTGTATAGCTAGGAATAGTAACTTAATCATGATGTTATCTCTTCTAAATGTCTTCTCTATAAATACAGCCATAACAATTTATTATTTGCGAGTGTATCGTGGAATTGGTAGGAAAGGGACCTCAGGTCACTTTCAAATGGGCATCTGTGTATGCAGTAATAACATTTGAATGCATGAAGTTGTGGATGGCCTTAGTTTCAAACGCAAAACAAATAAATAAATCTGAAGTCTAAAATAAAGCAGCCATCTCTTCCCCAAGAAAAGCTTCATTCTCTTTGTCTAATCACCAATGCAAGTGTTAGGCTTCTAGCTTCTTGTGAGTACTGACCACTTTGTAGCAGCAGCGGAGTGCAGTGCCTGTTTTTATAAGGTACTGAATTTTGACTGTCATCTTCAGATCTTTATACTACAAGTGCCAGTTTCACTTAGTTTGTGGTTAGTGGGTGACTAGTAATGCTGGGAAGAAAAGCTGTGTTTCTTTGTGTCTGCTGGTTAAGTGAGTAGCTCAAATTTGACTGAAAGGTGAAGTAGACCTAAGCTCTGGCTGATAAGTTTTAAGTGACACGATACAGCATCTGAAATCTAAAGCATTGCTCTTGGTATGCTTCAGGCTTATTAAAGTTGTTCAGAGAAAAATGTGCTATTGTAAACTCTGAAGAGCTGTCTTCTGCTTCTTCAAATGTATGCAAACAAATGTAGCCATCTGCCATAAGTGTGAGCTGATGTGAGACTGCAGAAGACTTGCGCAGACATGTAAACTGTGTTCAGAGAGAAAACTGGCTGTGCAACACTACTGGTTTAGCAGGAGTTAGTTGTTCTATAATGTGCTACGAAAAGTACTTGGCTGCCTTAAGTAACATTGTCAAAAAAATCTGTGTCAGATCTTCAAGCACACTGCAATTCCACATGTCATTTTTCAAATGGGGTGTGAGGGTGATGGTATTCATTACAATGGGAAGAAGTGGTATTTGTCACTTAAGATTTTGCTTCTGATTCTGACTGGGAAGAGTAGCTTTATACACCATGAGTGTTTGCCTGAGGCTGGGTAAAGACTGATCTAATGTCCTGACAGAAAAATGACAGCTTGCTCTGCTTTCTTACCCCATGTCTTGTACTGACTTAGTGTTAGGCTATTCAGCAAGCAGTTCACCTCACAAAATCAGCAGAAAACTATGTGATGGATGGGTTTCAGCTTAGTTTAGTGAGCTAGGATGGCTTTAAAGGGTCAGAAGTCTTAGCGCATGGGATCTTTCATTGGGAAAGAACAAAGGTGAGAGGCACCTGGATTTTGGCAGGAGCGAGCTCTTAAGTTGGCTTTGGCAAATAAACCTTGCCCCTTCCCCTCTTGTCTGCTTTTAGACTTGGTCCTACCGTGTCCCACTTCTGACCTTCTTAAGATGTGGGGTTCTTTGATGGGTTTTAATCATTTGCTTACATGTAAGCAGGGTTGTCTTTTCCATGTACATTTATTTCTGCTAATAGTAAAAGGGGAAAAATGTTTTTTGTACTGCTGCTGGTTTGGGGGACAGGGAGGAAAGCTAGTCTATTTACAGAAGGCCCAGATGCTTACTGACTGGGCTGTTGCATATAAGCCTATGGAATCCTTGCTTAAATCCTGCTTTATTTCTTGATCCACAGGCATTTCACGACCCCGGTCTGATAGTGCACCACCCACGCCAGTGAATAGGCTGAGCATGCCCCAGAACACTGCTATCAACACCACTCCACCCCACAACCGAAGGCATCGGGCAGTGACTGTGAATAAAGCAACAATGAAAACCAGCACTGTAAGACTCCCTATTCTGTATTTAAGTAGCTGCCCCTTCTGATAGTTTCTTCTGTTAGAGGAAGTGATTTACTTTCTTCTAGGAGCTGATCTGTGTGTTCCTCTGTTCAAATAGGTAACTACTGCACACACTTCAAAAGTGCAGCATCAGCCATCCTCTACTTCTCCACTGTCTAGCCCAAACCAGACAAGTTCTGAACCACGGCCACTACCAGCTCCTCGCAGGCCAAAGGTTAACAGCATCTTGAACCTCTTTGGATCGTGGTTATTTGATGCAGCATTTGTTCACTGTAAACTTCATAATGGAATAAACAGAGACAGCAGCATGACTGGTAAATAACACTGAAAAATAGACATACACTTTTTTTCTTGTTTTACTGACATTTCCTACCTGCAAGATTAACATATGCATAATCCAAACCAAAATCATCTGAAGTGCTGTATTGTGGTTAACCCCTCCCAGCTGAGCCAGCACCTGCTATTAGCTGAAGCAGGTGTTTGGGGGCTTTAAAAAAAAAATCACGTTTTGCTATTAAACACTCTTGCTCTAACAATGCATTCCTGAGCATGCTAGTGGGGAAATCTTACGAAGTGATGGAAATGATGTGGTAAGATCTCACTGCCTAATTTGAAATCTGCTTGACTATCTCTGAGTAATAGCAACTTTTATAGTGAGTCTTTAATATTTGAAAGACTGTCAAACATTGCTCCAGATACTGCACGAAGTGGTGTTTCTGGGTGTTGGGGAGTGTTAGGGCAACAGAAATACTTAAAAGAAGCAGGTGAAGCGGCTGCTTTTCAGTGCCGGGTGCTGTGTGTTCCCATATATGACTTGATACCTTGGTGGTCTTCAGTCTGTGACTGCTACATTTATTTGTATCTCCTATGCTTTGCTCAGCTTTAGAGGTTAGATGCTTTGAAACATGATAGCAGAAGTAGTGCTCTAGTCAAAGAAGGGTTTAGCATTCTTCCTTTTGGCGATGATAATCAGAAAAGAATAAACTTTCTCACTCCTTGCATTTTTCCTGTTCTTCATGTAGTGTTTTGAATGTCTGCTAAGCATTTCCAAGAGATGTATCTATCGGGAGCTTGCTGGCCTTAGAGAAATAGGAGGAAGATGTTTGTTGTAGCAAGTTGGGTTCACAGTGGGATGTGACAGCAATAGTTAAACTGATGATCTTCCTTGTTTGTTGTGTCACAAATCCGTGTGTGGAGGCGATGGATTTAGGATTTGGAGTCTGTTAAAGGTATTTTTAGATACGGATCACGTGGTTTTTGAAAGTGTTCAGTTGTGGATTTCTGTGGTAGAAGTTTCAAGTCCCCCTGTAAAAGGCCTGCGACATGTTACTAGAGCAATAGCTGTGCTTAGGAAGGAGTAAGGCATCATTTGATGCTATGTTCAGTTGCACGTGCTTCTGGTGTGTTTCTGTATTAATGCTTTTCAGATTTGACTGGATCATTTTAATTTTGACATAGCCTGTATCTTGAGCAATTTTATTGAAGTGTTTAACCTGAAAAGGATCTCGGCTGTGAAGCTGCTTATGTGACAGTGTCAGCTGTAAACGGAGATGGTGTGATTCTAGCAGAAGTACAGTTATTCTAAATCAAAATGATTGACTTCCTTGAGGGGGTTCCAGGGCCTTCTAGTCATGTATGCCTAACAGTGGTCAGAAAATGATTGTGTTGCTAGAGAAGAACTTACTAGCTTCCTGAAAGCTAGAAACACCTATTTAGGAATGACTTGATTATCTTCCTCCTCCATCCTTTTCGGATTTGTGCCTGGTGAGACCAGTCTTTGACTGTCACAAGTTCTGCCATTTGTTAGCTGCAGCGGATCTGAGGGAGTTATGTTGTTGGAGATCCAGAAAACTCTTATGTCCTGCTTTTCTAGCTATTTGGAAGATAGAATTAATGTAGGGAATTTAGTTGAGTCTTTTCTGCCCTTCTGGGATTCCACACGTGTTCTTCCCTCTGTGTAAAGTACTGGCGACAGAATGCTATGGCAGGCTGTCAGGAGAGCGAACTGAAGATAAACCCATATTGCTGAAACTCTCTACAGAGTTTCCAGAGGCACCAAAATCTGACTGCCTGATTTATCCTTTTGGATAAATCCTTTTACGCAGTCTCTGCTCTAGGAAAATGAAGCAAGATTTGTAAAGGGCTCCTGCAGTTTCTGTTGACTTGAAGTATGTGTCTTTTAAATTGGGTTTAAGTCCAAATTGAAAAGTTTCTTTGATTTTAATTCATGAAACCTGAATAAGGCTGAATGAGGAGGGTCGTGTGCTCTGGTCCCCCTCTGTCACACAAGTGGAGCCCATCAGTAATAATCAGATCTGCATTTGTGCCCATCTGCCAGCCTCTGCTTGTGTTACCCAGTGTAGATGTGGCTTGCAGAAAGAGGGCAGCAGAGAAGGACAGTTAGGTGCCACAGTCCCTAACCTTTAGGAAAGATGCCAAAAATAAACCTGCTTCTTTTTGGCAGCAGGTTGGTTGTACCTGTATATATCACAGGCCATCTGCTACCCTTTGTAGCCTGGTACAGTAACACTTCTTGCCAATAGCTTGAATAGTCTTACCATGTTTGATACTGCTGTTGATAATCTTTGCATTAGCTTCAGGAAGCACTACTATTTTTATGGCTGCTTTAAATATTTTATGATTGGGAAGTGCCTGCACTTAAAATCAGCTTTGCTATGTAGTATTGTCTTCTACTGGCCCACACACTATTTTTCTGTCGTAGGACTGCAGCTGTATAAGATCTCAACAGCTTTAAACCCTTCTAATGTTCAGTTTGTTTCAATGCCACGCAGTTCAGAATTTCTTCTCTCAGAGCTCTCTGATATGATTTCTCTGTTCTGTATCTGGCTGGAGGACTGAGGACCACTTTGATAAAGAGGTGAAATATCTTGGTACAGATTGCTCCTTGGTCCTGCAGAGGGAGATCCCCTGCCCTGGGATGTCTTTCTGGAATGCTGCTTTTTCCAATGTGTGTTTCTTATTCCTCTTCTGTTATGTCTCATTCTCAATGAGAACCCATGATTTATAAAGAAGCATTCATGAACTACATGTGATTGCTTAACAAGTAATGCTGCAGACAAGCTGCAATCTCACATTTTAGTTCAGAATTTAGTTCAATTCTTTGAAATAAACCCTGCTGATTCACAGGGACCAGCACATCATCCTTCTCCCATCTTAAGACACAAGTCTTTTTGATGAGCTTTAGGAAGTAAGGAGCAGCTAATCAAGGCGAATGTGAATGAGTACCTATCTGCTCTTGCTTTTCTCCTTGTGTTGGAGCCTCACATATCTTACTTCTTGGGCTCTTTAACCTCAAGGAAGGAAGTTAAGAAAAATGACTGGTGGAAAAAGTGTACAGCTTTTTGTATTTCTGAGATGAAAAATATCTGGATGGCTGGAAGGGTAACCAGACTGGCTCTACTTGACCCTGCTTTGCATTTCAGGAACTGAGTCTTCCAATTCGGTGGCCTCACTCTTAATCCTTGTACCAAAAGTAGTTGGTCATGAGCCTGCCAGCTGTGTGGTTTATAGCAGCTGAGGGAGCCTGGCCTAGGCTGCTTGCTGGTGCTGTTGGCAGTGGGTATAGTTTTATCCTCATGTTTTCTGTCCCTACTGTCATTAATATTAAACATCCCAAAGACTGTTTCTGGGGCTCTAGGAGAAAACTACAAGAAGCCCTGATTAGGAGCATCTTTGAACATCGCTGAGGGGCTTGGTCATAGGTCTTGATCTGACCCTGCACATTCACAGCTGCCACTCTCATGAGGTGGTGACATTCTTTCCTGGTCCCTGGCTACTGGAGTCTTTCCTCTTTCTCTGGAGATTATTTTTGAGGTGTTGGTATTTCTGGGAGTGCTCTGCCTTTTATTTCTGCTTTGGAAGGTTGTTGATTGAGCTGGTGGACAGGGGAGGCATGCTTAGGTATACTGGCTGATAGCAGCTTGACTTAGGGAAGCCAGAGCTGTATTACCTTCAGGAACTCATGGTTTGGAAGTAGAAGCATTGCTGTGGGGAGCCTGCAGGTAAGTAACCTTCCCCCTACAAGACATTGTACCCCAAGTCCCAGAGCCTTAGGGTAGCCTGGTGTGTACACCAGGTACAATGCAACTTAGGGAAGTGTACTTGAGCTGGGAAGGGTTAATGCATCTGTTTGAGGAATTGATGTACACTGGTGTGAACAGCTCTGAACCTTATTAGTATTTTGTAACTTTTTGTTCATTGTTTTGCATGGTACTTTCAAAGCCATAATTTTGGACCTGAATGCCAATTTCCTATATGTTTAACGAGCTTGCTGTATCATAAAGCTTTTAATCTATTTTTTAGAAAAGCTAAAAGCTTCTTAACTTATATTACAATTTCACCATCTTAAAAGTATTTTATAACTACTGCTGTCCTTTGATTTGTTTCCATTTTATTTCTATTATCTTGCAGCATCTTTTATCCAAATTCTTCTTTCTTATAAATCTTGTAAGTAGGAACCAGTAGCTTTTCCTTAATTGCGGTCATGCTTTTCTTTTTCCATTATCCCATATTTTATTTGTAAATTCATTCCCATTGTCTCTTGTAGCTTTTGCACTTTTACTTGGAAAAAGACAAGTAATTTTTTTTGTGTGTGTTTTTGAATGGGGAGGATTGTTGGCAAAAGCAAATTAATCTGCCTGAATCAGTCCCATCTTTTCTGTACTTTAGTCTGTGATCATGTCATGAGTTTCAGGACTTTGCACTAACCATGTTTTTTTTACTTAAAGCTTATTTTACAGACCTAGTGTTTGATTTGTATGCATTGTGCATGTAGTGTTTTTTTCCAACTACAATATATTGCTGGATAGCTTATTCAGGACAAAAAACGGCTCATGGGAAGATACATAAAGATTTGTGCTTATTTGCTACTTATGTCATGAAAATCTGTAAGGTAACAGTAGTAGGTTAAACAAGGAATTTAAAGGCAAAAAAATAAAGAGTATACACCTGTCATTAGGATGTTTCCTTTAAAAGCAAACAAACAAAACCCCTATCCATAAACTAACAAGTCGAAGTGTTAATGTGCCATTTGGAGACTGCCTAACCTCAGATTCATTTGGCTGTTTCATGTGAGGAGAGGGACCAAATCAGGGGAGAGAACAGTTCACTGAAACCCATTGATATGGGTCCCTGTAATTTGTTTGTAACAAACATTTATGAAACAAAACTGGATCAAAGCAGTTTGATGCTCAGAGCAGCGTAAGAGGTAACTTGGCCAGCTGAAAATTAAGCACTTGCTTGGAAGTTACACCGTCACCATCTAAAAGTTTTTTGATGTGTTAAAACAGCAAGGCAAGGTGGTACTTCAGTTTTCTGGAGATGGGAACTAGGTGAGGGAAGATCCTTGTCCTCCAGAGAGGGTAGGAAGCTAATATTGGAGAGAATCATGCTCTTCCCAGCAGGAAGTTGGTACAGGCTCTAGAATACAAGGATCAGTTGTCATCCTTACAAAGAAAAAAGTTAATTACGATCACAAATACTTTCTATACAGAGGCACTGACTCAAATGCAGTGAACTAATAGCTTCATGATAACTACTAAATTTGACTTGATCTTTGTGTCCAGGATCCCATGAGCCTTGTCTATACATTAACACACACAGTGAAACACTGTTTTTTCTCTTCCCAGCTATAGCGACTCAAGCTAGCGTGGAGTTCCGCCGGAAAGGATCTCAAATGTCCACAGACACAATGGCTTCCAACCCCATGTTTGATGCAAGTGAATTCCCAGACAACTATGAAGCAGGAAGGGCAGAGGCATGCGGGACACTGTGTAGGATATTTTGTAGCAAGAAGACTGGGGAGGAAATATTACCAGCTTACCTATCCCGGTACTAACCTGTCTTCCAGTTGCTTTGTTGGTATAACTTTATGGTGCAAATTAATTCACAGCGAATAGTGTTCAGTTACTGACTGAATTCTGGGTTGCCAATTCATAAACCTGATTACCCCTGAGATGCTGTAGGTGGGGATCCCTAGCTAGACCAAGTAGTGATTTTTGTGTTCTCATGGTGCTGGTTTTCATTGGGTTTTCTTCCAGTTCCAGTTGAAGGGAAGTCCTCTAAAGTGCCTCCCAGCTGTAAGGAATGCTGTCTTTTTGATACTTTTCTGCTTTTTGTATTCTTGTTTTTCTGTAATTTGTCACTGGATACTGTTCAGATGGATAAAATCAGTGTGCAGACATAAGATGTACACTTTATTAGACCGTGAAGAGTCCTGCCTTGTCAACACAAGGCTGGGATGGAATTTGTTTGTTGTAGTGGGTTTTTTTCTTCAAATATAGAAATGCACTAATATTCTGCTATTTGAAACAGTTGAGCTCTGAACTACCTCTGTTTTCAGTCTTATTTCTCATAAAATAAGGCAGTCTTGCCCATCATAGTGTACTTTTTTTTCCCAAATTTCTGTTAAAAAGTGTAATAGAAAGGCAGAGACTCGGCTTCAAATCATGACTTTCCAACTGTCCAGGTACACACTGTCCCAAGTGGCATCAAGACTTCCTGGAAGACTGAACTGTGTTATTTCTTGCATGTTGCAGTGTTTTGTGTCTAGATAGTCTGTGTTTCTCTTACCCATTCAGTCAGATTCCTGTGTTTGCAAGCCTTTAAAAAACAACAGATTAAAGGGGATAGAAGGATTCCCTGATAAGAAACTAACTGCTCCAGGGTGATGGCCAGCTAGGTTCCTGTCCCCAGTTTTTTCATCTGAACTGGTTATGATGGTTATGGTTGGTCTCATCTTCCAAACTGTTGATCAGTGTGTCCTGTCCTGTTCCCCCCACCAAAGATTTCCTAGTATCTTTCTTGTGTTGGGGAATTAAGGATGGGAGTAAGACCTTGATTTTATGTGGGGAAAGGAGCAGTGGGAGAGCATGTGGTCAAAGTGCTGTTAGTAATCGCCCGGGCTGTATTTGCACAGCTCCCAGTCTGTGTTGCAACACGTCAAAGCTTTCAGTAAAACTGTGCTGCACTGGCTTTTCACATGTAGTACGTGTGATTTGTGAGGGTTTTCTATTAAGCTGGTTAATATGTTTGCCTTTGCTGAAGTATCTTGGGGGAATGCTCATAGAAACATTTCCTAGCTCTGATTTCAAACCATTCTATGTAGAAAAGATCAAATAGTGGCTGCACATTCTTGTTCATGTGGGATGCTGATGCTTTTTATGTGCAAATAATTTAATCTTATCTTTCTTTGTCAGATTTTACATGCTTTTAATTCAGGGTTTGCAGATAGCAGATTTCGTTTGCCACCCCGTTCTTGCCAGTGTTATTCTAAACTCCCCTCCTTTGTTCTGCTGTGACCTGAAAGGGATTGATGTCGTGGTTCCTTATTTCATTTCGGCTCTTGAAACTATTTTACCTGACAGGTAAATTGCTATTTCCATATAAATATCATCAGAAATGTGGGGAAGTGCTTTATCTTCAGGGGGTTTCTGTCAGTAGCTCTCATTGAAGGAGCTCTGTATGTGGGCCTCATAGTGTGTTTGTGTTTGATGGTGATAATAACACACTTCATAAGCTCTAATTTGCGTTTTTGTGTAATGCAATTTTCTTTAAAGCAACAGTAGTGATTATTTTAAATGAAATACGTGAGTTGTGTTAGCTAGATATTCCATTCTGGAAAGCAGTAGCTGTAAGAATAGGGAAAAGGAGTGCTTTAGTTCAAATATATTGAAAACCTACTGATTTTTAAGTAAAATTTCACAGGACATTCATTAGTGGCTGTTGCTGCAGTGAATTCATTAAGAGGGTAATCTTGCACATCATTAAATAGAAAAATTGATTTAGACTGGCTGGTGAAATTGGAGTAGGTTTTTAAACCAGAAGATATAACATCATTTGCAGAGCTGTATAGATTTTTGGATGTTTTGCTAAGTAGTTTAATACTACTCTGTGCATGCCTTCTTCAGCTTATGTTTTGTCTTGGTATTGCATTTCATTTTGAACTTATGCATAAAATATTATTTATCTTCTGGGTTTAAATCTGAGCCACTGCTTCTTTTGGATAGGTCTTATAAGTAGAAGAATTTGCTGGTGGCTACTGAAAAAATCTATTTGCTAAGCAGTTTGTGTTCTGTGCAGAATGCATGTGAGCATATTCTGAGGATCTCTGGTGGATTTGAGTTGCAAAAAGCCAGTGGAGGGTCATGACTAAAACTTCCTGCTTTGAAGATGCAGTATACAAATGGTATTTTCATCAGCTCACTGCTTTCATATGGGGTACAAAATCCTTAGCAAGTGATGGTTCCTTCATGGATTCATTGTGTTATTGCTGCTGCTTAAAAAAGAAATAAGAACCCTGAGCCTAGAAAGAAACAGCTCCATTATTTACTGCAAATCATTTAAGACCACAAGGTGGCTGTGTGTTTGATTTTAACTTAATTAGTTTTGGCTGCAGATTCCTGTGAAAAGTTGATTAACTGTGCAATGCTTTGATTTGCAGAGAACTCTCAAAGTTTAAAATCTATGTAAACCCCACAGAGCTAAGAAGAGCTTCCATTAACATCTTGCTGTCTCTGTTGCCTCTCCCTCATCATTTTGGAACCATAAAGTCTGAGGTAGTAAACTACCACTTTGTGTTGCATTTCCATTTTTGTTTCCCTGGTGGTTTTGGGGTGGGATTTGGATGAGCTGTGGGTTGTATTTAGTGTTCTCTTTAGCAGTTAAAACTTTCTCCAGCAAGTCTGTAGCAGTAATACTATTACAAGTATGCTGTCAACACTGACTTTTGAAACCAGCACCATGCTGGTGTGATCTCTAATTGATACTGAAATAAATGTGTTTTTACCCTCAGGTTGTCCTGGAAGGGAAATTCAGCAATGATGACAGCTCAACATATGATAAGCCAGTAACCTTCCTTTCCTTGAAGCTGAGGCTTGTGAATATACTTATAGGAGCTTTGCAAACGGAAACAGATCCCAACAACACTCAAATGATTCTAGGTTATTACAACTTTTTATTTATTAACTGTTTTAGAGAAGTGTCTGTCTTAATCTGTTCTGGAATAATGTGGGTTGTTAGTAATGTGTTGCTTTGCAAGACAAGTGAAATTCCTGGCAGGTTGTCATCTGTGTAATCCTCAAACTAAGAAAACATCTTGGAAAGCCTCAGAATTTTGTTAAATCTTTTTTAAGATTTAACAAAAGAGATTGTTAAATCTTTCTTTACAGATGTGGAATAGTCCTTGAAAAACAGAGGTGGAAGTGAAGGACATTCCAGCAGGAAAAGTCAGTTATAACTAGGAATAGAAACAGGAAAAGTTTTAATATTGAGAAATATTCTTGACTAATGAGTTATAGGGAACGTTTTAAGCTTTGGCTTGCTTATGTCTAGAAACAAGCTGTAGTACTGGGTGACCAGTGGTCCAGCACTGACAAAATAGAGATGACATTTGTTTAGCACTGTGTAAATCCTCAGAGAACAACTTTGGCACAGAGTCCGGAGAGGCACTGTGGTTTGGCAAGAAACTTTTCACTGAGGTAATGAGTGTATTATCATTATTCTGAATACTCAGAAAGTAAGTAGAAGCTGAAAACTTGAATAGTGCAGACTCTGTCAAGCTATGTATATTTTCAGACAAGTAAAAATATCCTTGCCTTTTATTCTTCTGTTATTTGTCTCTCTTTAGAAGTGTATTTTTCCATGTAATGCTGTTCTTGTCCTTTAGTTACAATACCACTTTCTTTTTGTCTGGTTAAAAAGGAACCAGATTTGCACTGCAATGGGAGATGTCTGCCTTGTTCTGGGACATGGAGAGCCTGCCGATTAATAGGGGAGGGCAAGAAAATGGCATGGTCAAAGAAGTGAAGGGAAACAAATCCAGTCTGCAAAGACTTTTGGGAAGTTTCCTTGCAGCGACTGAAAGTTCTTTTACCAGCAGAAGGCTAGAGTGGAATAGTTAAAAGAATGCTTTGGTACCAGTGCTGGTGAAGGGATGAGGGTATTTTTGGTTTCAGAGTGATCCTAATGGCCAAACTGGGGTGGTCCCTTGGTGCCAGGCAAGAACTTAGCCGAGGCCAGCACTGTGTAACCCTGGAGGTGGCTTTGCACAGCACAGCTCACTTCTGCACTCGGTTCTCTAACAAATACTGTTGTTTTATTCACAGTATCAGTAGATATCCTTAAATGTACCCTGAGATTTTAAATGAGCGCAGCCTGATAGGAGACAAGGAATAGTATCGGTCAAGGAATGATATCAACCCTTCTGTGAAACTAAAATCCTTCTGAACTGAGGAACTTGAAAAACCTATGTTCAAAGCTTTCGTAAAGTAGCTGAAAGCATTCTGTCTCAGCTCTCATGTGCTTCAAATAGCTAAGCCTGAAGCAAATCCCGTGTTTTGTAAAACCCTTACACAGAGTTTTTATGAACCAGAATTGCAGTCCTGTATGTTAGATCTGCAGCACTTCTTTGTACATTTTAGAAGCTAATATTCCACTGCAGTTTTTAGTTATCTTCTTGTATCTGATTCTTCAGGTGCAATGTTAAATATTGTTCAAGATTCAGCACTGTTAGAAGCCATTGGCTGTCAGATGGAAACGGTAAGTATTTTCTGTTTATGAAGTAACCAAAAGAATATGTTGATTTATCTGCTGTTGTAATGCTCTCGGCATCTTGAGCTTTGATCACCATTTTTCCTCCATTGTACCTGAGAACATCCTCTGGTATAGGAAATCTTCTCAGAAAAATCTGCTCATAGCTCAAAACTGACTTTCAATTTGCAGAATGGTGGTGAAAATAACCTCTTCAAAAGCCACAGTCGTACTAACAGTGGCATTAGCACTGCAAGTGGAGGCAGTACGGAGCCCACAACACCAGATAGTGAGAGACCAGCACAGGCCCTTCTGAGGGATTATGGTAAGAAGAGTTCTTCTGAAAACACCTTGTCCTTACATGCCAGGGTGGTGGTTTGGGTTTTTTTCCTGTACCTAGTTCTTGCTAATACATTAATGTGCATGGGTGGTATGAACCCATGGTGGAGAGACCCTTTGTTTATCGCCAGTTTGTCCTCATATGTGCCCTTGTAAGTGATTGGCTTTTAATCCTACTAAAGGACTTGGTTAACATTTTAAAAATAAGAATGTAAAAGCTTATGAAAAAGGTGTTTGCAAACTGCTTTACTTCAGCTTCTGTTTTCAAGACATTTAGTTTTCATGAACAGCAATGGGACGAATGTACGCCAGGTATAAATAACATGTTTCAATCACTTTGGTAGCATTCCAAATGCTTACCTGACTTTTGCAACACCTTTTCTTAAACTATATTTAAAAGAGCATTTGAGGGACTCCAGTTTTTCTTGAGAAGTAAGCAAAATGCTTGTGTTGTGTCATTTGTTATAACAAGAGAATTCAGTTATTAACTTCAGTTTGCTATGTCTTGTACTGTGCCTTTTTGAATCTTTGTAATAACATCCATGTTATAAATCTGTGTGGCCAAATGTTGAGATCCTGGAATTTCATGTGCTCCTTTGGTCTTCAGCAGTTTTAACTGATGCTGACCAAGTAAATGGGAGAACAGATCACCTTTATTGTGTTGGAACCTAGGCTGATAGCTCTGTTCTTGCCAACCAAAAATGGTTTGGTTTTGTATTTTTCTTTAGCTCTATAACGGAGAGGAGGGAGATTGGCAGGGAAGACTTTAGTGTATTCTAGGTGTTCATATAAACATGTTGATGCTTTTCCTACAGGGTTTGTTTGAAGTGATTAAAGTGCTAGTTTTCAGCACACCATTTAAATTGTGTGTTTAGCTCGTATGGGCTGTCATTGACAAGTGCTTATAAAAATATCTATTTGTAAGGTTAAAAATATATCTGACTTATGAAGTCTTTAAACCATGACATAAATTGAAAGATGTGTCTGTAATACATTTATCTTATTGGATTTTCTTAAATTTCCCATGTGCAAAGGTAAGGATATAAGAAATTTATGAAAAGAATTAAATTGCTTCTGCTGGATGCTTCAAACAAGAGAAAATTGAAAATAAGATGATCTATTTTTACTGTTTAACTCTACCAGACACTTGTTACTAGTGTAACACTGTACTTACCTCTTCAGTGTTATATCTGATGATTTAAGTTTGGGAAGGATGTACCTTAGGTGTCACAGCTCTCATGTCTCTATAGTCATTTAGCAGTTTTTGTTTATGAAATTAATTTGCCTACTTGAGTATATTGCTTTATGTATAGTATTTATGTTCCTAATAGAAATGGGAACAACTGATACCAAAACCAAAATTAAAGTCTAGAAATAATTGGGTCTTTTTTTCTCCACGACTGATTCTTACATTATCTGTGTTTATCAAACTAATACAACTTTGGATAAGCGCTAGGTATAGAAAGAGTGGCTAGCTTCTGGCATAGGTAGCTGAAGTTACATGCACTCTTAGTTCATTATTGTGGCCTAAATATACGAGTATTAATATTTAATGTACATTACCACTGCCTAAATTTTTCTGAGACTGCAAGACATCACAGCAGTTTAAATACAGCAGCAAAACCTAAAGTGCAGCAGAGTGCTGGGATTATCAAAAAAGTATTTTTAAAGTAAAAAAGCTGGTATAAGCTAGTCTGGATGTTTTTGTATAATGTCTGGTGGTGCATACGCGGGAGTTATCCCATGAAAAAGTGATCGACCCAAGTTCTAGATTCTGAGCTGTGTATAATTTTGTGTGTATTGTGGCTGCTTTAGCTTGTGCCTGTGCTTTGCTTATTGTCACTAATGCTTAGTTATTTTCCCTCCCTGTGGTACGTGGTATTGGGGTTATATCCTAGCTCTTAATACAGATACAGCTGCTGGACTACTGATACGCAGTATTCACCTGGTAACTCAAAGACTCAACTCGCAGTGGAGGCAGGACATGAGTATTTCACTGGCTGCACTGGAGCTTCTGTCTGGGCTGGCAAAGGTGAGAGGTGAAGCCTTGTGTACTCTGGCCCCTTCTCAAAGGGTGATCATACTCCTGTTCAGGTGAAAGTCATGCCACCAGTTGTCTGTCTGAATTAGTCAGCGAATGTTCTGTTTGGACACAAGGAAAGCAGTACTCCTTTTGTACTTTGTATTGTCCTAATGTGAATGCCTGTGGCTCAAATGATGTGTGCCCTGTAAATGACTGCTGCCTTGAAAGGAAGCTCAGGGTGGTCCATTCAGGTACATGTGTCAGGGTATTAAGCACCTTAATTGCCCTTTTGGTAAGCGTGGTACCTGTTTTTCCCCTTCCGTCTCATCTTGGAAATAGTTTTCTAAGCTTAGAAAATAGTGGTGTGTTTCTAATAGGAAGGTGTCGCCTTCAAGAGCTTTATCTGCACACAGTGCTTTTAAAAACTATTTCTGTTCCAAAATTGTTTTGTGGAGGAATCCTCATCCTCTCCTTGCTTTACGCAGGTGAAAGTGGCAGTGGATTCCTCTGATCGGAAGAGAGCCATCAGCTCCGTGTGCAGCTACATCGTGTACCAGTGCAGCCGCCCGGCCCCGCTCCACTCCCGCGACCTTCACTCCATGATAGTCGCGGCTTTCCAGTGCCTCTGCGTCTGGCTCACTGAGCACCCGGACATGCTGGATGAGAAGGTACAAACCTCTGGTGTGCATCTCTCCAACACTCCAGATTGTAATGCCTGTCTGGTCTTGATACTTTCATGTGAATTTCTTAGTTTTCAGAAGTATAGTAGGAGTTTCAAAGCTAGTTTCTGTGCAAAATAGTTTTCAATTTTGATCTCTGTTCTTTAGTCATCAGGAATGTTTTTGGCTTTAAAATGACCTTTTCTGTTTCTAAGAATGTCTTGATCTTTTTTCTTGCTTTTTGAAGCTGGAAAAAGAGCAGAAGAAACCTGGGGAAAAAAAAAAACTGAAAAGAGAAATATGAGAATAACAGTGTACATATAGAGTAGCTACCTGCTGCAGATAATCTTCACTAAAAGTCTCCTCCCATTTCTGAGCTTTTACCCAACTAAAGCATCTTCTGCACTTATTGGAATTCCTTTGTTACTTCTATTCTGATAATCATAGTGTGTTTCACCAAAAAACAGTTTTGTAGAAACTGAGCAAGGCATAGCTCAATCCAAGATGGAATTTCCTTGGGAAGCTTGAAAAGAGCAGGCAGAGAAAGTTGCATGTTTCCAACAGCCTTCTGTCCTGCTGTGGGAAAAAAAATAATATAATTTGAAAGGCATTTCATTGCTGGTCTCCTTGCAGAGACAGCTCAGTGATCTTGCTAGGTTTTTACATATAATTTATATCTGTATGTATTATCGATACAGTTTTATATAGAATATATGCTTTGTATATCCTTATTTTGCTTACATATTTTATACATGCTATAGAATATATATGTTTTTATAAATGAGAATTGAAAACCCATGAGTAGGACAACAAACAAATATGCTTTCTATAGGCATTTTGGGATGCTGGCATTGCAGTATTGCAGTAGGTGACTAGGACATGATGTGGCACAGCATGAGATTATTTGGTTGCATAAAGCTTAGTTTCCTTCCATTAGGTTATTTATTCTAATTATCATGGCATATTGACATAATGTTACATACTGTGTGTGATATATTCTGGACACTTAGTAGCTCATTCCTGAGTCATGATAGTCAGATTTCATTGCATTTGCAAGTATTAGAATTGCAATTTACCCAGTGCCTCACCTTATATTGCTTTGAATTTCACCTGCTATTTTACTAGCCAACACTCTAATCTCCTTCTGTAATTCTTCATGGCCAGTCTTTGTATCTCAATGCTGGTTAATTTTGCTATGTCAGAAAACTTCCTCTTCACCTCTTTTTCTACATCAGTTCTGAATGCAAGGAAGGATACAGGGCAAGGCACAGACCTGGTCTCTGGTTGTAAAACCTGGCCACTTCCTTGTGCTCAGAGTTCAGCTAGTTACTGATTCATGAGAGCAGTTTCCTTGTTGTTCTGTAGCTCAAGCCATGAGATTTGAACCTTTGCTGTAGCAGTCCAGATAGTTTGAGCAAATGGCTTTGTGTGATGAGCAACACTTGAGTCATACCTTCAGTTCTGCTGAGTGCTGGCATCTCCTGCAGTAGATCTGTTGAAGCTTTGCTGTGTCCATTAAGAATATTGTTACTGTTCTTCTGCTGAACTAGATCCCATGATATATCTTATGAAAGCTGTTTGGAAAAGGATTTAGTGGAATTTTCTAGATGAGTTCATTCTTGATGTGCTTAGAACTTAATTAGAAGTTCTGCAGGCTCTTAGAAATGTATTTATTATCTCTTCAATATGTTTCCATTTTTCAGTTGCACTCTTAATAGTCCTCTTGGCAATTTTGTACATTTGTAATGGAATATATTTGTGTATGTATTCATTCAGGGCACTTTATACCATTAGAATACAAACATAAGTAGACATCTTTACACAGAGAAAGTACTCTTACAGCAAATGTGATCTTATTCCAGCACTGTCTGTTAGTATAATCTTCTGCCTTTATTTGCTCATATTCCCAGCAGTGCTTTATTTTAATAGATGGTGTTTCACTGAGGTCTTGGAGACATTTATGAGAGTGCTTCTGCTTCAAGGTGGTTCCTCTTGTGTTTTAGGATTGTTTAAAAGAGGTACTGGAGATTGTGGAGCTGGGCATTTCAGGAAGCAAATCCAAAAACAGTGAACAAGAGGTCAAGTACAAAGGAGATAAGGAGCCAAACCCAGCATCCATGAGAGTGAAGGATGCTGCTGAAGCTACACTAACGTGGTATGTAATTTGTCAGAGCGTGTTTACTGTTTAGTGTTGCCTCGTCCCAAGTGTTTTAATCAGGAGTTCCCAGCTGGTGAGATCTCTGATGTAGCAAGAGCATTTGAACAGTGAGCCAGAAGCTCCCTCTGTTTTGCCCTTTGGGCAGGGTTGTTCTGTGCTCTGCCTTAGCTAGCTTCCTCCTCCTGTTACAGGTGTTCAACAGGAAAAATACCCTGTGATTGCTGTCTTCCTCTCCTACCTGTTCTCTTCCTTGGAGAACAAAACCCACTCCTTCCTGCAGCCCATGGTGTTCTGTTCTCAGCCAGTTCTCTCTGCAGACAGCAGTTCCCTCGCTATCCCTCTTGACCTAACAATCCTGTCTTTCCATCTCCCCTTCTCCTTCTCTGCCTGAGAAGTGCCATCCCCAGACTGACTGTGAAAGTGTTAGACACTGTCCCATGTGCAATGCAGCAGGGAATAGCACGTGCAGCAGATGTAAGCTGGTGCAGGAAGGGATATCAGTCTGTCCACAGCACTGGGCTCGCTTAATATATTTGAGAGGTTCTGTTGGAAATTCAATAATAGATAGTATGTGGGCTGGGAAGGGGAAGCACAGAGAGGAAAGTTGGAATTTGCTCCAGAGAAGTCGAAAAGCACTGTCGTACTGGATGAATAGCATGAAGGTAGGCAGGACAGATTGAGGATGGGTAGGATAAATATGTTTTGCAGAAGGCAATAGCTCTTTCTTGCTCTGCTTTGCAATAAAACTATGATAAACTTTGCTCATGAAAATTACGCAGTTCTTTTACTAAGGTAAAAGCAAGCATTTATCAGAACTTGTGGACAAACCTTAGTTGTTGCCTAAAAGTGCCTCTCTTCATTTGGAGAGATGAAACTATGTGTTCTTGGTGTAAAGTGGGAAAGTGTGAGGGCAGGACTTCAGTAAACTTACTTCTGGTCTGGGTGGTAGTGTTACGAGTAAAGACCTGAGATAAATCCTAGGATCTCCAGCCTGACACTGAACAACTCTCGTTATTGGTTCCTGCCAGAGAAATTTTCAGTTTCTAATAGTATTTCTTCTAGGTTTTCATGTGTGTTTTTCTGGAGTGACTAGGTCTGTTTCAAAACAAGCTGATGGGAGAGGGCAGGTTTACCCTGGCAGCATAACTGCTGTGTCAAGACATAAATAAAGAGTATGAGTGAAGGCCTGTTCATCTTCTTAATCTGTCATAACTCTTTTTTCTCACTTGCAGTATTATGCAGTTACTTGGAGCATTTCCTTCTCCCAGTGGCCCTGCTTCTCCTTGCAGCTTGGTGAATGAAACCACATTAATTAAATACTCTCGTCTACCCACCATAAACAAGCATAGCTTCCGATACTTTGTTCTGGATAACAGTGTCATCCTGGCAATGTTGGAGCAGCCTCTAGGGAATGAACAGAGTAAGTTAGTACTACCCATTTCCTCCTTCCTCTGGTTAAAATTGTACAGAGCTGCGAAACAAAGGCAGTTCATTGAGTGTTGTTCTTGCATTTCAGGGACTTAATCTGTTCTGTGGGTGTATGATTGAGCAGAGTGTTGTTCTGGGATGAAGCGGTGGGAATAACTTTAATGTCACCAATAGTCAAACATGTACAAACCCATCCAAATTATTCATGCGGTTGTCTGTGCCTTTCATCCAGTTAGATCAGATACTTGCAGCTGACTGACATCTAAATTATTGCTGATGGTCTAAAGTGATAGCATTACAGTTCGAAAACATCCTTGTTCACGAAAGAATGAAAATATAAAGAATATAGGAGGCTTGACAGGGAGAAGTGCTCAACAAATGGTTGATGTGACGCCTTTATGTTGCATGGATGCTTTTTTTGCTTTAGGTCTCCTGTTAACAAATATTTCTGTGGGTGCTTTCAGCTCAAATGGTTTTAGTTGCTTCAGAGCTGTTACAACTTTCCCGTGTACCATTCTGTTCCATCAGTGACACCTACTGTAAAGGAGATCTGTCACAGGGTATTGGCTTTCACATATGAACCTCATTCGTTTCAGCTTCATGTGCTTTGACCAATAAGAATTATATTAAAATCTGGTATTAAATTACATGATGCTTTGAACTGAATAACTGATCCCCCTGTAAGTCTTCACATATCATGGCAGTACTAACAGAATAGATGAAAACTCTCTCATATGCGACCTCAGTTTAAGACCAAGGTATGTTAGATCTGCTGATCTGCCACAGATACCTTTTCCTTATCTATGGGCAGGATGGAGTCTAGATACTAGTCTTGAAAACAGATTGCACAGAACTTCATGAACTGGCCAAGTTACTTTTGAGTTGTGGTCCAGAGTGCTCCAGCCTCACTGCGAATCACTAAATAGATCTTGCAGAAAATGCTGATGCTGGGAGCTGTTGCTGCACAGCCACCCACAGTCTGTGTTTGAGCAAGCATGTTGCTGACTAGAATGGATTAGAGCATGCTTGAACATCTGAGCAATCCTCACTCTGCCCCTGCTAAATTCATTACTGAGGAATCCTGTAAAGCTATTAGAATCTCTGATGAAATTATCTTTTTTTACTGTGTGTAACTTGCTTACAAATCCCCTCTGAATGACAAGATTAAATGCAGTATTGCACAAGAGGGCCACACCGCTTTTAGGGAAGGCCACAGAAGGGAATGACTGTGGGAAGCTGGTTTGGTTTGTTTCTATGTGTGTTCATGTACCCTGCACCCTGGACTTCCATGAAATACTGGGGAAAGAATATGTACCTGCTAGTTACCTGATGGTGTCAATTGGTGGTTTATGTGCACAAAAGATACATAATTTTAAAAAGAGGAGCTCTAGAGTTATGATGATCCCTCTTCTAAAGTGGTGAATATCAGTGCCCTTTTAAGTCTTGAAGGAAGACTGAAATCCCTGCAATGTTAAAACCACCACTGTGCAAGTTGAAAGGCAGTACCTCAGGGATCTGCAGTCCAGTCTCCTGCTCTAAACAAGGTTAATTCTGAATTCAGATCAGGACAGAGCGACTTGACATTGTCCAAGTAGGTCTTGAAAACCTACAAGGACAACTTCTTTTTGTTCTCCCTATTCCTTGTGAAACATTTTCCATGATGGAAAGTCGGAATCTTCCCGTGTCTTAGTTTTACCATTATCTCTTGTCCTTGTACTGTGCTTATTGCTGCTATTTCGTAGAATCACGGATTGGTTTGAGTTGGAAGGGACCTTAACACTCATCCAGTTTCCAACCCCCTGCCGTGGGCAGGGACACCTGCTAGAGCAGCTTGCTCCAAGCCCCTGTGTCCAAACTGGCCTTGAACACTGCCAGCGATGGGGCAGCCACAGCTTCTCTGGGCACCCTGTGCCAGCACCTCAGCACCCTCACAGGGAAGAGCTTCTGCCTAAGATCTAATCTAAATCTGCCCTCTTTCAGTTTGGAGCCTACAGGCCCTTGTGAAAATGATTGTATTTTTGTGGGATCTTTACAGAAGGCCATGGAAGTATCATGGAAACCATGTCTCCATATGGTCATTTTTCTTATCTAAACATGCAGTGGCTGGGCAATCTTTTTTCATTCTTGGTAATAATTTGGGCACAAAAAGTGATCTTCATGAATTTGGATAAAAGTTAATGATGAACCTGAGCTGGCAACTACTGAACAGACCACAGAGTAGACTAGAACTTCCCTGCTGCAGAGAGAAAGATCACTTGCTTCTCCACCAGGAATTGTCGTCAGGGTCATGGAGGAGTTACCTAGAAAACAAAACCTCTATCATCATGCTTTCATTTTCTTTCTAGTTAAATTACTGCACAGTGAACTGTTTGCAATTTATGATGATGTATTATTCTCCATGTGCTTTGCAGATGACTCTTTCCCCTCTGTCACGGTTTTGATCCGTGGGACATCTGGAAGATTTGCATGGGCCCAGCAACTCTGTCTCTTACCAAGAGGAGCTAAAGCAAATCAAAAGGTCTCTATCAAAGCCGTAAAGAAATCTTTAACTTAGAGATGTTCAGCAGAAATTCCACTAATGTGAGACAGCCCCACAGAGCTGGTGATTATACATTAAGGCTGAGCCACGGGGCCTTTAGCTGTAGGTAATGTGACACATCTCTGGTGACTCTTTACGACTTGTGATGAATATTAAATACAGGCTGTGAAAGTGCTGTTGCCTCTAGACTTATTTAAGGGGAGGGGGCATTCTCCTTGTTTTTTCAGAGAGTATCTTCTGAGGTGATGGGGCAATGGACAGTGTATTTAATGTGTAAGCATGAGTGTTGATGCTGATTTTAGGATGTCAGGTCAAGCCCTTGCAGCAGAGGAAGCAGTCAGGAGGTATAGGATGGGATGCTGCATTTTTGTCTGTTTGTGAACTGCTCCAAACCTTCAAACTCTTCACATGCCTCTCAGTAAAATGAAGGAAATAATGTAGCTGACATCGGCACCCATCAGTCTCAGCTGTCATGTAGCTGAATCTGCTCTCTTGAAAGCAGCCTTCAGGAGGACTCTCTACATGATGCCTTTGGAGCTGTGCTGTCACTGGAGCTGAGCCATTTCACCAGATAGTGTCAGTCCAAGTGTATGACCTCCCACACCACAGGAGAAGCCATGTCCTGGCCTCCTTACCAGTTCTAAGGGAACTTTTCCACCCTGAAGTGATTCTCTAACTTTTAATGTTAAGTTTTGCCCTTTAGAAGTGTAAGTGGTAGTAAATAAATTCATAAAGCAGCATGCAAGATGTAATTAAAGGTCTTATTTGCTTGGATCTTGTGCACCTAGATCTTTTGTTGGTAACTGCAAGTTTTGAATTGCACACTAACAGTTTGGAACATAACATAGCAGAAATGTCAGAATTACATTATGATGTGTTATGCAAGCCCTTTTGATATTCTGGCAGTGCATCTCCCTCCTGACTCACAGCGTTGCTGCTGTTCTCTTCCAGGACTTCTCAGTTTGACTTGCTGTGATCATCGTAGTCAGCAGGGTTTAAATGGAGACTTCTCAAACAGTTGGTAGATTTCACTCAATACAGTTATAACGGGCTGAAAATAAGATGTTGCCATGTAAACTTGCTCTAAAGCTGGGATTTGCAGCTGCTCAGGGGTTAGATGGTGAGCAGGGTTTGTAGATTCCAGGAGTGCAGCTGCCAACATGGGCAGAGCTGTGTCTCTTTGAAAATTTACAGCCATGTCTTTAATACAAGTCTATTAGTTTAAAGTACTCAATGTTTTTTAATGATGCCTCTCACTAATGCATTTGTGTACTTCTGGTGGTGAGGTGGGAGGGAATGTTTTCCATCTATTGCAGTGAAGTATTGTCTAGTGTTATGATGCCTTCAATGTAAAAACTCTCCCCCTTTTTTGTCAGACTTTTGTGCCAGAGCCTCGACCAGCTCCTAAAAATGATGTTGGGTTGAAGTACAGTGTGAAGCACCGCCCTTTTCCTGAAGAAGTGGACAAGATCCCGTTTGTGAAAGCAGACTTGAGCATTCCTGATTTACATGAAATTGTGAATGAGGAAGTAAGTCATTGTTAGTCTCTAATTTTGTACTCGGGTTGGGGGTTTTTTTTGGTCTGTTCATGAATCATACACTAATGTCTTTCTGTAAATAGTTTTACTCTTTATCTTGACTAATTTAATATTAATGGAATAATAATCTCTGCAAACTAATCTGTGCACTTTTCCAGGCAGATGACAGTGCCTTGGATGTGGTTTTGGGAGGCACTGCTCAACATGTCTCACTACTGATCCTAATATCCTGGTTTTGCTGGGAAGCAATGACTTGGATTTTGTTGCCTCTTCTGGGGAAATGGAAAGGCCTTTTTTGAGATCCTGGGAGGAAAGGGAGTGTGTGTCTCAAAAATAAAGCTTCACAGTGCCAAATGTGTTTTAGTCTCCTTTCACTTAAAAGGGAGAATCTGTAGCTGATACTGGGCATGGAAACTTGCAGCAGTGGTCCCATGTGAAGAGGGTGTTTAGATGTTCACTTTGTAACATGGCAAGGTCTTGTTGATAGAGCTGTAGTAAACATCCTGGTATTGGAGTTGCAGCTGCTGCTTGCCAGTTCCTGAGTGATGGAGCTGTTGTTTAGTGGATCTTAGTGATCTTGGTGGACTCAGCATTTCACACAATGTTTTCTAGCTCGAAGAGCGACATGAGAAGCTGAGGAATGGCATGGCCCAGCAGATTATTTTTGAGACTTCCATAGATCAGAAGAGTGAAGAGGAGTGGCGGAAGAAGAGCTTTCCTGATCCCATCACGGAGTGTAAGCCCCCCCCACCGGCACAGGAGTTCCAGACAGCACGCCTCTTCCTCTCTCACTTCGGGTTTCTCTCACTAGAGGCATTGAAGGTGACCTGATACTTCTTAGCGTTGTGCAAACACCCTCAGTACCAAAGCTGTCCCATTCCTATGCTTGTGCTTTAAATCATCCCATAAGATTGAATTAGGTTTTGGGTTGGTACTTTAAGAGTTTCTGAAATACGACTGCCTTAAAAGTTCTGCTCCCAAGATGATTATGCTTGAAATGGTTTAATCGTACATAAACACTTGGGAGTGCTTATAGGTTGTATAGCTTTCTTTTTAAAGTTAAAATAACAGCTTGTAGAGAAGATCCATATTCTTAATTTGAAGTTCTGCCTTTTCTCTGTGGATTCTGTTTTATTTGTTGCATTTTCTTCTAGAAAACCATCAACAAAAGCAGACAATGGAGCTTTTGCAGAAATTATGTCTAGAAGTGTTCAGTATTTTGCAGATTTTTGGTGTATAAGTTAATAAATATGTAACTACATATGTGATTGTGTGTAGTTGTCATAGTTTGAAAGTATCTGCTGCTTCTGTTGTGGTAGCTAGCACTCCTTTTGTGCAAAATGTTACGTCTGTTTCACTGGCAAAATACCATTTTTATTTAATGAAAATTTGTTGCATTCTACTCTTCTCAAACTATGGTGTCACTCACAGTAACAGGATTATAATACGTCAGAACTTTGTGTATGATTTTGCTCTTGGAAAAGGAAAGTTGTCTTTTTATATTTTACTGGATTCATATAGAAATCACAAAGAACTTTTCCAGTTAGGAAATATGGGGTTTTAAGCTGTTGAACTCTGTCTGTTGGATAGGAACCTACTAACAGTCGTCTACCTCCTCACCTGATTGCACTTGACTCAGCTCTTCCTGGTTTTTTTGATGACCTTGGCTACTTGGATTTATTGCCATGTCGTCCTTTTGATACTGTTTTCATTTTCTACATGAAGGCAGGCCAGAAAACAAGCCAGGAGGTAAGTGAAGTCATAGAGTGCCAAATAGCCCTTATCGTCTTGTTTCTAGTGTTTCCCAAGGTCTGCTAATGACTAGAATTGGAGTATCAGACCATGGGGTTCTGGGCACTGTGTTTAGTTACAGTGTGAGCTATAACAAGTCCCTGTGTACTCCTTTCTTCTATAGGTTGAGGTATGTTACCCACATCTAGGGTTGTGGTAACATCTCTTTTATATAATTAAAAATGTATATAAAATACATATTTAATATATTAAAATATTCATAGTATTTTTATCTTTTCTGTCCTTGTCACTATTTGTAGAGTTCAAAGATTCATATCAGAAATGCATTTCAAATTGGCTCAGCTTGCAGGGCAGGTTGCAGTTTATTCTCAGCAATGTGCAGCATCCTGGTTTTGTCCAGTTTTATTCTAATGTTAAACACTTGTTAAAGGAATGAAAAGCTTCTGCAAGTAAGAAAGTGCAGCTGCTTTGCAAGTCTTTACATTACACTGTTTGTATTCTAATGCAGTCAGGTTAATCAGGTTGATTTGTGCAAATCTAAATAGTCACTTCTTTAGACTGTGACCTAGAAACTCCCAAAGACAGCTTATGGACTCATCAGAAAAGGCTATTTCTGTAGTACCTTCTCCTCATTCCATTCATAATTCTCATAGCAAAGAGTAGAAGCATAGCTTCCATAATAAATTATTGTGCCATCTCCTCGTGTCTTTCTGAATGCAAAGTTGACAGAACGTTGCAGCATCTTCTGCTTTTGTGTGGAATACACTAGTTCTTGCAACCAGGATCATGCTGTTTGTGAGTTTTCAAGTTGAAGTTCAGAGTAGCCAGTACCCAGTCTTTCCATCTCCAAAGTCAGCTACCAAACAAGGTATATAAGTTTTGCCTTCCAGCTGAAATGTGCTCTTGCTGACCTAGCAGAATGCTTTTTTCCCATCTGATGCTTATATGCTATTATGGATTTAGACAGATGTGATTACTTAGTCTGCAGAACTTGCCAGCCTTTGGAAACCCAATTAGCATGGGGTTTGCCATGTAGATTTAATAAAATCTTGCATTTGGGAGATTCTGGATGTATTTAGACACAGTATGAAGATGCCACTCCTGCTTCAAGATCCCTGGACACCTTGCTGTGATTTCTAAGCCTTTCAGGTTGTGCAAGGTCGCAGTGGCAGCCAAGTTAAAGTACTTGTCTCTAGGGATCAGGGCTGAGTGAAATACTGATACTGCTCCAGTCCTTGAAAAGACCTGTGTTTTGTTTCTGTCCTGCATTGTTTTTGATATTAACAAGCAAGGGAGGAGGAGATTGAAGCCAAGTTGTGACATTGTTTGTGCTTCTGGCAGGGCTGGCTGCCTGGTCCTACTCATCTGTCTCTCTCAGTGAGTTCATGCCACTTCAGCTCAGGACCTCATTCTGTTTTGAGGTGACCTGCTGTCCTTTCACGAGGAGTGGTGTCAGCTGTGTTTTATCTGATGCTGCAAAGCCTGGAATAGTGGCATCTAGCCTGCTATTGCATTAGCTCCAAATATTTTTCTGTGGTGGTAGGTTTTTACACTTGAGAAGGTTCTCATTGCATTTATTTATACAGGGTAATGAAGTTGCTTGCACACTTTTTACATCATTTTACTTCACATCATTAAATGTCCTTTGAAAATCCCCCCTTGTCCTTGCTTTACTGTAAATTCTTTTTCTAAATGGGCTTAGATATAAAACCATACAGTTGTATAAAGCCTGAGCCTGCCTATTTTCTGAAGTTGTCTTCTAAACTGCATTTATCTATGCTTCAGAATGAATTGAGATACAGCTTCAGTGAGCTTAGTGGTGAGAATAATCGTAATATTGCAGTGCAGTATGTATAGCCATTGCTGAATACTGTATGAGGCACTAGGGTGGTGTGCCAGGACTGTGTGGATGGACAAACCAAAATCAAAGGTGCTCCTGCCACAGAATAGATTCTCACATAGCTGGAGAGGGTGGATGCACTGCACAGCATTGTCTATTCCACAGATCACAGTGGTTCTGGTAGACCAGATCACAAACCATCCATGTCTCCCCGTGTGCCAGTTGGTGAAGGTCTCAACTTAGTGGATAAAAATTACCTTTGGATGTGGAAACATCCCAGATCTTTTTAAGAAGTAGGATTAAGGTTTAAAGCAACTAGCACAGAACAGTGACATTTGATTAAAGTGCTTGCTTGAACCTGCTTAAATAGTTTTGCAAAATCAGTTTTGTGACTTAAGGCCCACAGTCTGAATTGCTGGATGTCATGTGCAGGTGAGTAGTGATAAAACACCTTTCTCCTCAAATTTCCCCTCAGTTTTGTAGTGAAAATTGACCAGAAAATTCTCGTGTTACCTTTTGTGCTAATGCAGATTCTGCGCTGAACAGTTCTGTGGCTTATCCCTAATGAGTGGATAAATCTCCAAATTGCTGTTTCTAGCTGTTTGAGTAACCATTTTACAGGCTTTGACAGTGATGGCAGAGAGACAAGCTGATAGAATAGGACATTGCCAAGCAGGATGGGAGGATGCTGGGCAGCAGGAGTAGTGTCCTGGGGTTCCAGGCTTGCTGAAGAGCTGTTTTTCAGCAAAACCATGTTGTGACATTAAATCTTAATTTAAAAAGTGGGGGGGGAGAAAAGAGCTGCTTCCTGGTCTCTTGTATTTACCATGGTGATGCTGGTTGTTTCAGATCCTGAAGAACATGGAGTCTTCCAGAATTGTTCAGCCACACTTCCTGGAATTCTTGCTGTCTCTTGGCTGGTCTGTTGATGTGGGGAAGCACCCTGGATGGACTGGCCATGTCTCAACAAGTTGGTCAATCAATAGCTGCAGTGATGAAGAGGGACCTGAACAAGGTAAGACATAGTAAATGGTTAAATTAAGAAGTTTAGGCTCCTTTAGTAGACAGTTAATTTAGGTGTTCAGGAGCAAGAAATTCTGTCTAAGCACTTGCATATTCTTATTAGAGAAATGCCAGTGCTTACTAGAAAGGAATGTGTAAATATTTGATTAAACTTCAAGTCAAAGTGAGCAAAACTAATGTGTGTCTGTTACTGGGAGGAAGTAGCCTCAGCAAGGAGTATCTCTGCTATGGTTTTAGCAGACTTAATGAGTCTTTAATGTGTTACCCAGTATTTGGGTGAAATGAGATACAGATTGTGCTGCATATTGGCAAGTAGACTTGAAATATTGTGTGGTTTTTAGTGTTCTATAAGTAGATTAAAATAAGACATAGTAATAAGTTAGCTGTGTAATTGTGCTTGCTAGGGAGTAATAAAAGCAAGCTGCTGTTTGTAGGTCACAGTAGTTGGAGCCCACACACAGCTCTTCTGTCCTGCTTAATTTGCTCTGCTTTTTTCCACTAGAGCAGCTCCTCCTCTGGGCTTGTCATGTACTACCTCTCCCCATTCTGTCAACCAAAATGATCCTCAGGGTGGTGAATTGCTATCCCAGGGAGGAGGTTGACTTAGTTTCTGCCTAGAACAGCTGAATTGGATCACCTGAGATTGACAGTGTCTGGGTTGGTTTCAGTGTGGTTCATGGTGACTACTCCAAAGGGCCAGACCCTTTTCTTGGTGATCTTCAGAGCCTCAGCCCTCTGCTGTGGGCCACCTGAAGGCCTTGAGCAGGCTGGTCCAGCTTGTCCAGTGTCTTTGATCTAGCATTTCCATCAGATACAACACCGTTACTACTGCATTTGCTTAAGCAACTTTGCTTTCCCTTCTTTGTGCCTTAGAAATGCTCTTCACCTGTAACTCAGCAACTAAAGGCTTCTCTATTCATTTGTATAATAAAACTACAAACGGTTGAAGGCTTGAAATATAGGGGAGACGTTGAGAGGCATGGCTTTCCCTGAACAAGTCAGGAGAGGTTACAAAATGGCCAGGTCTTGCTTTGATTTTCATTTGAAGACAGGATCAGACTGTGCTTTACTTGAAGGCAAAACCCTCTCCGTTCACTTTGCAGTTGGCTCTGTCAGTAAAGCTGTGTGGAAGGCAGTGCCCAGGTGAGGTGACTTGGTTTGATGTGGGCTTTGTAATTTGGATGTTTTTTTTCAGCCCTTTGGCTTAGATCTCAGACCACCAAATAGTTGAATATATTCAACAGAAGGAACAGAAAAAGCATTCAGGGGTGGGAAGGAGGAATGCTCCTAACCTGGTTCTACTGCTGGAAAAATCTGTGAGTGGAGTCGTAGCTTTAGCAAGCAATGGCTTAAAAACTCAAATGGTAGATTTGAAGTAGACTTGGACAAGCTTGTAAAGATTGCTTTTGTTTTCCTCCAAGCTTTCCTGTGATTGAAGATACTTATTTTTTTTAAATGGATTTTCTGTTTGTGAATGGCTCTGATTAAAAATCCATTCATGAGTTTACATCCTGACTGGTATCAGCAATAGTCTGGGCAGCACCAGGGCAGTGATTATCTGCTGTACTTGGAACTGGTGAGGCTGTACCTGGAATCCTATGTTCATTTCTGGGTTCTTCACCACAAGAAAGACACTGAGGTGCTGGAGTGGGTCCAGAAAAGGGCAACAAAGATGGTGAAGGGTCTGGAGCACAAGTGTGATGAGGAATGGCTGAGAGACCGAGGGGGTTCAGTCTGGAGAAAAGGGGGCTCAGGGGAGACCTTGTCGCTCTCAACTACCTGAAAAGAGGTTGTAGTGAGATATTCAGTCTCTTTTTCCAAGTACCAAGCAATAGGACTAGAGGAAATGGCCTCAAGTTGTGCCAGAGGAGGTTTAGATTTGGTATTAGGAAAAATTCCTTCCCTGAAAGGGCTGTCAAGCACTGAACAGGCTGCCCAGGGAAGTGGTGGAGTCACCATCCCTGGAGGTGTTTTAAAGATGTGTAGATGTGGCACATAAGGACCTGGTTTAGTGGTGGACTTGGCAGTGCTAGGTTTACAGTTGGACTCTGCAAACTTAAAGGTCTTTTCCAGCCTAAATGATTCTATGATTCTAGAATAGCTTCCCATGAGGCATCATTAAAATCAATTCACAGGCTTATGCTTTGGGTTTGTTTCCCTGCTCACTCCCAAAACCAAAGAAGTTCTGAAACAGTTGGGTTCAGGTTGTGGTGCTGCTCCCTGAGGGCTATGGGCTAGAGATGCAGGAGCACTTCCCTGACAGTGAAGCACAGCTTGGAGGCTCCTGTGTGCCTCTGACCACCTCTCTATCGGCGTGCTGAATTCATTGCTCCATTGGTTTTGCTGAGGCAGCTATCCCAGGAACCCTCTGTAAACTGGAACAAGGAAATAATTCAAAGTCCTTGCTAGTCTTTCTGGAGGGGGTATGGGGAAGGCAAAGGGAGCTGGATTGTCTTCCTCTGCTATGGAAGCCTGATGTGCTAACTGCAGTGAGGGAATAAATGGGAGCTGAGAACGAGGAGCTTTCTCGTATTGGGTTTGATTCAAGAGAGCCTCTTGCTAACTCTCCTTGGCAGAAGAACAGGCACAGAGGAGACACTGTAGAAACTGGCTTGAATTTTAGGATAGCATCAGAGTGAAGTTAGAAATGTTAGAACCCTTTGGAAATTTAATGACTAACTGAATGTCTGCTGGAGGGAATGGTTAGAAATAGCTACTAGATGAATTCTTGCGGCAGACATGCTTACTAGACTGCTCAATCCAAGGGAAATAGGGTATGCAGTACAATGGAAATGATTTCAGAATAAATCCTCTCCCAACTCAAAATCCCATTTCCTTCGAGATAATAAAAACTTATCTGAGAAAGGTTAGAACCTATGAGATTTGACTGTGAAATCTTCTCATTTTAAAATGAGATTTGCCTGATTTCTTCTCATTGTTTTCACCTTATCTTTAAAGGCTGTTTCTGAGGCAGCATATAAAGAGGTGGAGCTTCCTTTTGACTAAACTTTCCTCTTATGTCCATTTCAGATGATCTAATTATTTCAGAAGATGTTGGGGCAAGTATCTTCAACGGGCAGAAGAAGGTGCTGTATTATGCGGATGCCCTGACAGAAATAGCTTTTGTTGTCCCATCCCCAGTGGAGTCCCTAAGTAAGACCTCTTTGTACATGCTGCTTGCAAAACCCAAATGTTTTTTGTTAGAGAGCTTTTTCAGAAGGAGAACCTAAATTGACTGGTGCTGTGCCTGGCAAGATCCTTGTCAGAAAGCTACTGATGCTTAAATTACAGCGTTCCAATCCTCATACTCTTTCCTAAAGTGGCATGTCTTCTGTGCCCTTTTTCTCAGTCTAAGCCTCAATATTGCTGTGCCCCTGGGTGCATTAGTTTGGACACAGGGTTCACCATCAACTGGTGATGCTTATTTCCTTTTCCTCTCCCATCCTGATGATGTGCTCCTGCAGCACATGGAGGAGCATGTATTCAACTGCTGTGTAGGTGAGCAAGAGCTTTCACATCTTTTGCTCACTCCCGGGAATAAAAGGGCTGTGAGGAAATGATAGCCGTGGAAGGAGGAGACTCTGTTCCCTAGCAAATGGATGGAACGGTTCTAAATCCATAGGGAGTGTTTTAATTGCAGTCTGTTTCTGGAATACCTGGCAGTTGTCCATTGCTGACTCTTCTTCCTGCTTTTGAGTGCTATATTGACTTGACTGTAAATCTATGTATGTTGAGTTTCAAAAACCTTGTAAGGCTTTTAGGTTCAAAACCTTCCATATGATGACAGCTGAAGTTTTTTGGCAGAAGAAAAGACAAACCCCACTTTTTACTTCTGGCTTACAGCTGATTCACTGGAAAGCAGCGTTTCTGACCAAGAAAGTGACTCCAACATGGATCTACTGCCAGGAATATTGAAGCAGCAGTCTCTGACACTTGAACTCTTCCCCAATCATACAGACAATCTTAATCCCTCCCAGCGGGTAAGCAAAAACTTGCACTGAAAAAGAAAAGTGGCTTTTTTCTTTCTCCCCCTGGCAGTGCTGCAGCATTTTCTGATAGCAAATGATTTGGTTTCCTACCATTTGGAGCTCCTCATTCCTAGCTATTAATCTTTGACATCTGCTTTGATCCTGCCAGAATTTGCACCTGCAGTAGGAGGTTGCAAGATTGCATTAATTGTAAGACTTAAATATGCTAAATAGTAATGTTCTGCATACTGAAATGCATGCAGGAAAAAATCTGTGCCGTATTTACAGAGTAATTCATCCGTGCTTGGAAATCTAGGATGAATAGGCATGGACACTTTTTGTACCTACCCAGTTTAAAATGGTATGTGCCAATTCTGTCTGAAGTATCAGATGTGAAATTGCTTTTGTATGGTAGCAAAGCAGAAAAACCATGAACTGCTCTTGGTGTTAGCAAAGGATTTCAAGTGCTTATTTCTCATATCGAATTCACTTCCAAATGTACCTTCAGTAACTGGTTTAAGATCTTTGAGAACAGTAAGAAAAACTTCAAGCAGATTTTTAAGATGCAATATATTAATTTACGTTGAAATTAAATGTTGTGGAGACCCAGGTTACTGTGGGTAGCTCCACAGGAGCTGCCCCATCTCAACAGTTAGTAGGGGTTGTATCTGTGTGAGACCTGGAAGACTGCAGAGCATCAGTGGAAATGCTTGTTGGGTGCATTACTGGATTCATATTTGCAAATGCTGCTCTTCCCTTGTGTTCAAAACAGCTCAGTCCTACTTCCAGATCCAAGAGGGTGCCTCAGGGCCGGACCATTCCACCAATGGGACCTGAAACCAAAGTGTATGTGGTCTGGGTGGAACGTTACGATGATATAGGTGCGTAGAAGTTCTTATTGTTCACTAAAGTAATGACCGGGCAGGAACCAGAGGAAAAAACTGTGTTCTGCTCCTCTGTGAAATGCTAAATCCTTGCTAATGTCTGTAGCTGACACAAAGAGTGTCTTCTAAAAGAGTTCTTTGGTATTTCAGTGGTGGTCCTTGGGAGTGCATGCATCAGTGGCATGCAGGTCTGGAGATTATTTTAGCTCTGGCAGTACATGTGAAATGCTGTCATGCACTTTAGGCTAAATGCACAAAGAAAGTGTGCACCCCTGGATTTGAGTTCCTCTCAGCTGCCATCTTCTTCCAGAGGAAAGCAACCAAGAGATGAGGAGCTTCCTATGAAGTGTCAGGGTAAATTCTCAGGATGACCACAGCACTTCCCTCAGAGCTTTACCTGGGTCAGGAGGCAGACATTAAGTCCTGCAGCATCATTTCCTTATCCAGGCATTGGCCCAGAGTGTGTACCCTTAGCTTCAGGAGTCCCTCAGCCATTTCAGTTCCCAGACTGGTGTCCCTGACCCACTTCTTTCTTGGGTGTCAGCTAAAGCCAGCTCACTGCAGAGGCAGCAGCTGTGCTACACATGCATGTTTCTGCTTGGCTGCTTCTTTCAGCAGCTGTAGGAATCTCCCAAAGCTCTGAGCCTGAAGGTGAAGAAATGAGTTTGTGAGCCTCAGTAAGAATGGCAGTTGGATTTGTGGGGGGAGTTCTTGAAAGTGGCTCCTAGCCCACAGGCTTTGCCTTATGCTTCTTACGTTCTTGGCTTTTGCTTTGTGCTTCAGGTACATCTTTGAATCTGGACAGGGAAAAGCTGTCACTCTGTAGTCTAGGCTGTCACCCCTGTGCCAGCTGCCTGCCCTCCTTGTTCCTCTATCTCGAAGTACTTCCGTGGCCCTCCATGCTAGCTCCAGCTTTTGTCTACTGTTAGCATCCAGCTCTGATAGCACAAGGTGTTTTCAGGCCATATACTTTTTTCTGCTGGAAGAAGTGTCAGCATTGTCCTTCTCTTTGATCTGTACTTTATGAAGGACTGTCAGCATCTCTCAGTTCCTGCCCCTAAACAAGGTAATGGGAATTTTGACATCCACTTTCAGGGATCTGGGTTCTTACTTCCTCCTGCACATTCATTATCTAGTCACTCGTTACGAAATGCATGGCATCAGAGTTGTAGGTTATGAGGATCTAAGAGCTTGGATTTGAGGAAAGATGCCACATTTGCTGGAGCTGAGATGTGAGCGGTGGTATCATTGGGAATTCCCAGCTCTCTTCCTGAGGCTGGCTGCTTGTGCATATGTGAAGGTGCTGTGCATAGTAACTTGAAAGCTCTTTCTGTGATTGAAGTACTTCATCTCCTTCCTGCTTTCACTGTTCCTCTAGAGACTTGACCTTTGGGATTGAGAGAACTGAGGGTCTGGGACATGTGTTACTTCTCTGTTGGGTGCAGGGTGGCTGAGGTGTGTCTATACACTCCATGAATTCTTAATCTGAAAAACAGGCTTTGCATTGCTAGCAGTGCAAGAACATCCATGGTGTAAATGCTTCAGGACTGCATGGTTTTGACTGATGATAAATCATCTTTGTACAAAAACAAAACAAAAAACCCACCCCAAAACCAGGAGTAGATAAACTTTATTCAGTGCATCCTCTTCTTACAGAAAACTTCCCCCTTCCTGATCTGGTGTCCGAGACGAGCACTGGTGTGGAAACTACAGCCAACAGTAGCACTTCCCTAAGGTAAGACTGCTCTTACTCTGATGTTTTTCTTGGTTCTTGTGGACCACAGTTTAGGCTGCACTTTAGAAGAAGTCATGGCTGAGATTATTTGCATTCTTCAGCTGTCCTGAAAACCCTAGGCTTTAACTCTATGTTAAAGACAGATGAGTTTCCTCAGTGGATTTCTTTTTTTTTTTCTGAAAAAATTAAGGAGCTTTTCATATCACTGCAATTTAAACCTAAATTAAGGAACAGAGGGTGTGTAGTTCATGTCTTCAGTCTGATGAGCCTCTGTCCTGATCTGCTCCCTTGTGAGGCAGTTAATGCTGTGTGTGCATGAGGCTTAAAGCCCTGTCTGCAAGGACTCTCATTCTGTGGTGACAGAAGACCATAGAAACAGAACAGTTGATTCATTAACGCTCTTTTTAACATTCTCTTTAACACTTAAAGTGGTTGTTTTTCATCTCTAGATTAACTGAAACAGTGCTATAAAACTGATGTAACAGTTGTGGCTTTTTCCTTAAGGTCTACCATTCCTGAGAAGGAAGTTCCTGTGATCTTCATCCATCCTTTAAACACTGGCTTATTCAGGATAAAACTACAAGGAGCAACTGGGAAATTCAATATGGTTATCCCGTTGGTGGATGGAATGATAGTCAGTAGGAGAGCTCTTGGTGAGTTAAAGATTTTTAGGAGCACTCATGTTTTGATATATTTTTCTTTTTAATAATAATAATGTATCTGCTAAGCACATGGTCTGGAATCTTTCCTTGGAAAAGCAATGGGCACGGCAAAGCAAAGTAAAAACCTGCTTTTTGCAGCAGCAAAAGTATGTTTTGGTAGCAGGAACAGCAGAGGGAGCAGGTGGTCGGCACTTTGCTGGCACCATAACAGGGCTCCACTTAATTGTTGGAGTGAGGCTGGAACTAGTAATAATGGAAGGAAAAGGTAAATACCTGTTATCTAGATGAGAGAGATCAGAAATGTGACCTTAATGTTTAACATTAAGAGCTGAGGTGCTGGTGCTAGTGCCTGCCCGAGGGCTCTGCTGAATTTGTGCTGTGCTGACATGCTGTGTTAGAAGGGATTAAAAGCCACAGCAGTTGAGGATTTTCTAATATGTTCAATAAAAATACTTAACCTGCTATGCAGATGTGTGAACAGGGGTCTGTGTGTGCTGTCTGCCTCTTCCTGTGCTCCTGGATGCATTAATGGACTGTCTTGGTACCTGTGCTACTATAGCTTCTGTAACTGGAAGTCTCACTCCAGTGGGAGCAATTCACAGGGCAGCAAAATGAATAAACAAACATTAGGATGCTGGTACATCACCATGAAATTAACTTTGTAGGGATCTGTTGGTGGTGACTCTCAGGTTCTGGGTTTTGCATGCTTAGGTTACTGATGGGGAAATTGAAGCCAAACTCAGTCTTTAAATAGCATTTGTGAGTTCAGCTGATGGCAGTGGCCTGTACTGAAAAAGAATCAGGGATGTTTTCCTAGAGCTGGGCTGGTTTTTCATCTGTGTGAGGACTGCCAATATAATGAAGTTTGTCTCGTCTCCAAGTTCAGCAGATGCAGTTGGTGCGCAGTCAGGATCAAGTCCCCCAGATGAGGAAGACACTATTTCTGCCTGTAGGAATGTGCTTGTCAAACAGCAAAGGGGTTAATGGACATTTACTTCATTGGAAGCATATCAGTTTCAGAATAAAATAGGATAAAGTCCACTATCAGCTTTGACCAAGGGTTATTGCTTTGGTTCCCAACCTTATCCTCCCTACCATATACAGCAGCATGAGTTAGAGGGGTAACAACAGTGGCAAAGCAGCAAGGGGAAACTTGTTTCCAGCCATAACCCATAGAGGCTTCCCTCATCCCCTGTTCCAAGGGGGAAGGCTTTGCAATTCCTACTGGAGAAAGTACTGATGGGTGCTTTTGCCATCCTGAAAGCTCCCCTGCCACTACCTGACCTCTGCATGTTCTCATGTAGCATGGCTGGGGCTGTAGCACTGTGATTCTTGTGTTAGCTGCTTTGGATTCTTTCCCCTCTTGGTCTTGAGTGTGCTGCTGCAGAGTTGCTTGGCTCTGGCAAAGCAGAGAAATCATCCTCCTCCTCTTCCTCTTCCTCCAGCCAGTTCAGGGTATCACTGACTTAGTCCCTTTCTTACTCATTTATTCCACAGTAAAATGTCCTTAAAGGTCTGGGGACCACTTGTTGTCTGTTCCCAGCGACTCATTGAGAAAGTTCTTGACTTGGTAGTGCTGAGCATCTCCCCTGGGTTTCTAGATGGGACAGAACCCAGAGCCCTCCTCAGCAGCGAAGCCAGCAAAGGGGCGTAGACCTGAATTTGTTTAAACTTGATTCAAACATTGTTTCTTTTCCAGGTTTTTTAGTGAGGCAAACAGTAATAAACATCTGTCGGAGGAAGAGGCTGGAAAGTGACTCCTACAACCCCCCCCATGTCCGCCGAAAACAGAAAATAGCAGACATTGTCAATAAGTACCGCAACAGGCAGCTGGAGCCAGAGTTTTATACCTCGCTTTTCCAGGAGGTTGGGCTCAAGAACTGCAACCCATAGGCCATTATCCTTCCAGGACAATTAGATCAGAGCTTGGTGGCTACAGTAATGAAAATGGTTGAATAACAACAACAAATTTCCTCAGCCCTCTGGAATTCAGGAAACGATATTCTAGCACAAGTCAGCAGATACCATGTGGGAGGAATGAGAAATGAATCCAGAACATTGCAGTTGTGATACTGACTTAATTCACCTACCCTCAGAAGAGTACTTAATTCCGGTCTTCCTGGATGCTATAGCAGCATAATCCCTTCACCCAGTCATCTATTCCAGACTAATTAGGAACTGTGTCTCATTCTGTGAGAGGAAAACAATCAGAACAAAGCCATCTCTGCATATAAGGATAGCAAACAAAATACAAACAAACCTGCCTTCAGACATCTCGTTATACCCACATCTTACAGGATAAGGGAGCAGGATCTCTCCTTTGAGGGGAGAGAGGCAGTTTCAGAGCATTCTATTTTCCTGCAAGAACTTAAGACATTTTCAGCCCCCCTTCAGAGCTCAACAGAAGATCCTTCACTGCTTGTAACCAATCTGTGTACCAAAAGCAAGAGGAGGAAAATGGCTTGGAAACACCAGGTCATGGATAAATAGCCAAGATACAGTTCCCTCCGTGGCTGGGAGTGAGTCCATCTACCCACGAGGTTTGTCATGCTGACAACAAACGACACCTGGTATTACCTGAGTTGTTACTAGATAAGAGCTCTTGGTTACAGAAACAAGAGGTTTGTGGCTTTCAGGTCTGTTGCAAAATGTCACGTTTAATTTTAGTAGCTTGATTATTTTAATTTTTTTATGCAATTACTTAATTTATTTCCAAGTGTCTGTGTCACCTACTCACCATGTCCATAAAAAGCATGAACATCCCTTGCTTTCCTTCCATTGGATTGAAATCTGAGATTCTGGGGCTGCCTCCTGCCTGCTTTATTTATAGCATAAGCAGTTTTCGCAGCTTCTACAACACTTTTCAGAAGCTCTTGTTAAACAGACTAAAACAAGTCCAAAAAACATTCCAAGTATTCTTTTTCCCCATTAATTCTGCAATTCCATGAAAGCCCCTCTGGAGTCAGAATGTAAAACTGGTTTGGATTGACTGTGCTGTCTCGTTCCACAGCGGTGGTTCCCCTTCACCTAGGTCAGAAGCTCTCCCTCTCAGACCATGGATTTCATGAGCTCAGGACTCGAAGGATGTGCTGGGAAAAGGTGTTTACAACTGCAGGATTTAATACTGGGAACCTAAAAGCTGCAGTGGGCACCGGCAGCCTCGGAGCGCTTCCAGGCTCCCGGCACACATCCTGACTTGTGTTGCAGTGATGAATCATCACTGGCACGCCGGGTAGATGCAGGTTGTGATCGCTGGCAGCAGCACGTGTCCTTTCCCTTCCAGTAAGCAGGTAATGGAAGAGTAGGAATGTGAGCAGGAACTTGGGGAACTCCTCGCATCAGAAGTGTTTTAGTAGCTTTTTAATGTGTTGCAGTAATACCTGCCAGGCAGTTTTTTTGTTTCAGTTATTTTGCAACATTTCAGATCTGAAATAGTCTCAATTGTTTGGTTACAACTTAACCTGCCAGGGACATCTGCTGCTCCTGCCTCTTCATGTGGCTTTTCACAGAGAGTTAATGGGAATGTAGGCCCCTAAAAATACATGTGAAAGGACTTTAAGGATGTTAACCAAGGAGGGTTAGGTTTAGGTGATGTGTGCTTGTTGCAGGGGACAAGCCCATTGGCCTCTCAACTCGGGAGCTCTGGATTTTGATCCAGATGCATCACAAGTGGAAGGAGGAAACCACATAAAGAAACCTACAGCAGCAGCAAGTATGAGGGATCACTTGTGTGATCAGTGGCCCTCACTTGTGTGATGCCCAGGTTGCAGATGGCAGGAGGGGCTGCAAGGCAGCGCTTGGGTGTAGTGGCAAAGGTGTGAAGGGAAACTGACAGCTTCATTCCTCTGCCAAACTCTTGCCAGTGTCCGTTTAATGCATGGACACTAAATTTATCCACATTTTCTACGTACCTATTGGATCTAATGAATGGCCAACCACACTTTAGTCCACTGATTTAAAAGGCATGACCAGTGCATGTGTAACAAACATACAGAGCAATCAAACGTCTGCACATCTTCAGTAACGTAACACAAATCCCACACACCATAGCTAAGTGTATGCTGTATGCGAGGTCATTGGTCTGTGTAGCAGTGGGCCACAAAAGATGCTTCTTTCAGGCACTTGGGTGCAGTCAGTGATGTGAGGATGTGTGTGTCTGGGGATTCCCTGGCTGTTTTCCACAAAGTCTGAGATAGCCACATGAGTTGCCTGGAAATTTACCTTTATAAAGGCTGAGGAATAGTCTTGGGTTTGTTCCTGTGTTCATTTAAAGCGTGGATGTGGCACCCACTTGTGCTGCAACAGCCCTGAGAGCAGCGTTGAAGGAAGGTAACTGCAGCTTGCGTGGTCCCCCCTCGGGGGAGCAGGCACTTGGAATCATTGGTTTGATTTGTAACCCAGCTGGTGAACCCGTTGCACACCAGTGGTGTGACCTGGCCCTGGGCCTTGGGGTTTGCTCTCTGGAAAGGGGAGCCTTCAGGAAGGCTGCAGTTCAGTGTCAGGATGTTGTGATCGCAGACATGTGTTGCCATCCCACTTGGTTTGGATGCTGGTTACAGCAGGAGCCCCCTTGGCAGACCTGTGCTGGTGGAGGGTGTCTGCATGGAGAGGTCTCTGACTCCGTACCAAACACCATTTGGGAATGAAGTCCTTGTCCTGTTGAAGCCTGTGGCCAAACTCCGATGGCTTCAGCTAATCCAGGGTATAGCCTTGAGTACTTTCCTCAGCAGGGTTAGAGCAAATGAGATGTAGTCCAGTTGTGATTGCAAGAACATGCTAGTCAGGAGTCCAGATTTGGGGTTCTTTATCACAAGGTGTTGTACTGAGTTTTCACCTTGACAGCTCACATGGCTTGGGTTTGTGTTCCTCTTTGCTGGAGGTGACAGGTACTGACCACTTGCTTCATGCATAGTATGATGTTTGCCTGCATTTGCTGCAAAAGCTGAGTTCAAACATTGCACAAGAACTAAAGGGAGACTTTCTCTTTGCATAAGGGCTTCCTGGTTGGGTTCATAATTCTGCTTTAACTGACAGCATCCTTTTAATGGTGCAGAGGTGGGGGAGAACCACTGTCACTTGTTAGTGTGGAAATTCAGACATTTCAGTACCTTATTAGAGCCTCTCTTGTAAAGAAAAGCATTTGTCTTAAAGGTACTTCTAACCAAGGCATTAAACCTTAGAGCAAACGGGAGGTGGGAAGGATGGTGCCAGTGTGGACAGCAGCGTGTGCACGGGGCTTTAGGAAGGAGCAGCCCCTCACTGCATGTGCTGGGGGCTCCGTTGGTGACTCCATTTCTTTCCTGTGAGGTTCTCATGCCCAGATAAGACGCAAGAACCAAACTTCACTCTCCCAGACACAAACCTGTTGTGATTTAATGGCTGTGTAACAGAGGAGTGTCTTTGAAGGCAAACGTAGACCTTTTCCACATGGATTTCAGCAGGAGCAATTAGGGACAGGAGCACCCGATACCGTGTGCTTCAAACCATGTACAATTTGTATGGATTTCTGTATGTTGCCAAGACGGGATCTTTTTGTTCTCCTTGTATTTTTCTGTAAATATTCCTGGCGCTAAGTTGTAAAGTAAAGGCAAAGTGTAAATAGGAAGATGTGAACTATGTTCCCTTGTCTCTAGTACTTTATCTCTTTGTTTAGGGAAGGCACACAAAGGCTTGTTTGTATTTATGCCAATTCTTTGTCCAGGAGAAACACATCAAATACTGAATGTAACACAATTAGTCCAATAAATTTTAAAGATTCTTATCTAGCAACGTTGCAGTTGTCAGTTGTTAATATTTCCAAGGCCTTTGGTTGAAATCGTTGCCCAATGGAGATGTTTCCCCTGGAAACAGCAGAGGGATGGAGTGGAATCGTGCATCCTCTGCTACCCAGCAGCTATGGTAACAGCGCTCCAGCTTGGGTTTCGTCTCATCTCAATGGTGTGGGGAAGGAAAACGTGGAAATGCAGCTCTGAAGGGAGACCGGATGCTCCTGCGGTGTGAAGTGCTCAATGTGTTGGTTCTGATGTGTGGCGCGGGGCCCTGCTGGTGTCCTGCGGCAGGACCGGGAATTGGCTGGGATAAAGCGGGGTGGTTTACGCAGCGCTGTGAGTGTTGGAGACGGCTCCTGTTTCTGGGCAGGCTGAGGATGAAGAATTTGACTTCTCAGTGATGAGGCCGTGGGCTGAAAGCGCCTTTCCATCAGCAGGGCCCGTGGCAGCGGGAGCTGGGTTGTGCGCTCTGGGTGCACGGTGGGGACCAACCCGCAGCTTCCAGTCCAGGAGCTCGAAGGCAGCTCAAGTGGCTCCTTGGGGCGGCTCCAAGCACCTCTTTGGCTCTGTTTCCAATGAGAGCTCCTCCCATGCACTGGAGGTGTTTGATGCTGAGGCACTGAACAGTCACAAGCTGCTGGTGGGCACCAGGGCAGCGTTTGGGAGGCTGTAAAAGCAGGAGTAACCGATGCAGGGATGGAGGCAGGAGGGGCAGCAGCCCAGAGCCATCCCACACTGTGTCCTGCCCAGCCTGGGGGCGTGGAGCTTCGCCATGGGGTGTGCAGGAGATGTCCTCAGTGCCCTCCACCACCCTCTTCATCAGCTCAATACCTATGAACTTGCCGAGTGGAAGCAGGAGCAACCCCACGCGCCGATGCCCAACGCGCCCGTTCTCGCTGCAGCCGGGCTCGTTGTGACCACAAATGAAACCAAATTGCATTACAGACAATTTTCCAGGGTGAAATGTAATATAGTCACTGCTTGACGATGAGGAAATGTCATTTGGCTGCTGGCAGCGAACTTGTGTCTGTTGGGAGAGGGGGGAAGAGGCTGAAGGTGGAGCTGGGCTGAGCTGTGCCTGCTGGTGCACTCCAGTGCACCCCCTTGGGTGGTGGGTGCTGAAAGGGGGGTCCCTCAGGCAGTGCATCTGCTGTGCACTGGGCTGTGGGTGCCAATGGAGTGTCCCCAGGCCTGGCAGATGCTGATGGGACATCCCTGGGCTGTGCGGGTGCTGCTGGAGTATTCCTGCACTATGTTTGTGCCCCCACAGTGTCCCTGGGCCATGTAAATGCTGCTCGACTGCCCCAAAGCTGTGCCAGTGACACGGGGACCACTGCCAGGGCGTTCAGTGGCTGTGGGCTGGGTCATGGCTGTGACAACGGCCCCCATCACAGCACCATAGAGGAGGGCAGCGTGCTGCTGCAGCAACCGGGGGCTCAGCCCTGGCTTTCAGCTGGGGTGACTGTGGCAGCGCACTGGGGGGACCCCTCATTCCCAGCGCTGCTCCAGAAGCTACGGGCACGGCAGTGGCCAAGAAGAGCTCTGAGGACACACGTGAGGTCTCAACCTGCCTCCTGCGAGAGCGGTGGCACCATCTGCTTTGTCATGTGTGCTGAGTTAAACCAGCCTGCCCTCGCTCTGCCGGTAACCCGGGCAGGGTGTGAAGGGAGGAGGTGAGGCACCGCAGCTCCGGGGCTCACACCGGGTTTCCTTACAAAGGTCTATGGGAAAGGCAGGGATGGGCTGGTTCATCCCATGGCAGAGGGAAAGGCTCCCGGGCTGCCCGGAGCCGGTGGGACAGGAGGAGCATCGGCACCATCACCTCTGCTGGCTTTTGGGTGGTAAAACCATCCCACAGCAGGGCAGCAGCTGGGGTGTCCCAGAGGGGTTGGGGGTACAGGGCTGGCACACAGGCCCTGTGCTCCCTTCCCATACTGGGCTCTGACTCTCAACACCAGCACCCATCCCGCTGTGCCCAGCCCCAGCATCCCCATCAGCATCCATCACCCGTTACCCACTGGGGTAACCCACAGCCTCGATTCCCCCTGTGGCCAGCCCTGGGGTGCTCTGCTGCCAGCAGAGCAGAGGGGCGCAGGGCAGCTGCCCAAAGGCTGACCCATGGGAGGGGGCTCCCCTGCAGCCCAGCCCCTGGGATGCCCCCGTGTTCCCCCGACAGCCCCCGATGGAAGCACATTTGATGGCATTATTAAATGATTTAGCGTATTTTCAGCCTCTTAAAGTACTTCATATACGTGCCCGTGTGATTCATTATTAGTATTAGCTAATGAAAGATTATCTGACTCACTTTCCTGTTTCTTCCAATTACAAATTGAAATTGTTCCCACTCTGACCTTGCAGCTGCTCGATTTGCTAAAATTAGCCATAATGATGCATTTTACTAAGATAATTAATTAGCTAAACTGAGAAAATTGAGTAGTAGAAGCGGCTTCACACGCTGCTCATTATCTTTTATTATGTCATCTTTACATACAAATAAAGAAATATTGTGATTATTTTAAACACTGTTTTCATTAGCTAATACACTTGTTAGCAGAGCGATGGCTCCGTTCGTCCTCGGCAGCGCAGAGCCCTTGGGGATTCGCCTGCTCATCGACTGCAGGACTCTTCCTTTCCCATGAAGGAAACACAGTTATGGGCCGAATCAGGTTCATTTTGTCCCTTTGTTTGAATGGCAGCGGGGGCACGGGATGCAGGAGGGCTGGGAGCATCCTGGGACCCTGCTGAAGGCTCCTGTATGGGGGGACAGGGCAGGGGCGCTGCCTCCAATGCTCAGGATATTCCCTGCGATCCCGAGCTCCGCTTTGGCCACCTCGCGGTGTCACGGAGCATCCTGCGTGCTGCAGCACCAGGCTGAGCTGTGGGTCCCAAACACCAGGGGCTCCCCAAAGCACACTCGCATCCCAGATCCCCCCTCTCGTTCCCCTTG